AGCTCGGTTTCAGCCCAGTTAGAGAACTTCCGATTTTGAACGTCAAAATTTATCCATATGACCCGGGTCGAATTTTCTTGACTTTGGACGGGAAAAAAATTTCGAGTTAAGTATCGTATCCTACACAATTCCAGGCGTAGAATCAATTACGTGTGGTCCCGCTTCTCCCCAAGACTGCTTAGGTCGAGTAACGGCTGTTTTTACTTATTTTGATAGTTCGCCTGCATGCGATACTCGCCGCTTGCGAGGTCCAGTGGACTCTTGGAGCTTTTTCGACCAGAATAAAGGCCCTCTCGCACAGTGATCTTGAAGCAAAAAAAAAAAAAAATCGACAAAAACGTACCCAAAAACGGTTTGTAGGAGGTGAGTCTATGGAACGCGTGGACTCAAATCGCGAAAAATCAAAATCTTGGCTGATCCTATTTTCTAGATATGGATATTTGAAATTTTCATAGCCAATGAAGTTTCATGCTGATTTTGATCCACTTTTTTATTTACTTGTCCATTCAATCGGCGTTGATCGATCCACGTTTTTATTTTTCGGTCGATTCATGTCGATCGAATACATACCCTCTCGTTACATGCAGACTACCTATCATTCTCTTTTTTTTTTACTGAACAATTCCCCTTCTGCTGCGTATACAGCAATTGTTGTTGCGAATATGTTGTGCATGCTGATTTTAGCCTATTACATACTCGACTATCTGAAGGCGTTTTATATGCCAAAGCAATTCGCCTTCAGTTGCGTCTACAGCAATTGTTGTTGCGAATATGTTGTGCTTGCTGATTTTAGCCTATTACATACTCGACTATCTGAAGGCGTTTTATATGCCAAAGCAATTCGCCTTCAGTTGCGTCTGCAGCAATTGTTGTTACGAATATGTTGTGCGTGCTGATTTTAGCCTATTACATACTCGACTATCTGAAGGCGTTTTATATGCCAAAGCAATTCGCCTTCAGTTGCGTCTGCAGCAATTGTTGTTACGAATATGTTGTGCGTGCCGACTTTAGCCTATTACATACTCGACTCTCGGAAGGCGTTTCATGTGCGCAAGTAGCGTAATCTGCCGGAGAACGAAAAAAGTAGGGATTGGGCGATTTATTCAATCTCACCTCTTCCAACAGGGTGCTCTTACTTTCGCACAGAAAACGCCTTCAGAGAGTCAAGTATGTAATTAGCTGCGATCAGCACGCACAACATATTCGGAAAAACAATTGCTGTGGACGCAGCTGAAGGCGAATAGAAAACGACCGTATAATACACGTCGAAAAACATGTTAGCTCCTTAATTAATATTGTTACCAATAGAGAGTTTTATTTTACGGTCTTTTTATGGGGGATTCTCGAAAAACTTTTCAACATAAACTAATTTTAAATACAAAATAAAATATACCGCGCTACAAATTTTCAGTCTTGGCGGAAAGTATGGCCTAAACTTTCCGCCAAGACGGAAGAAGCACCAACATCACAATGCTCTTGAAGCAAAAGAAAAATGCGACAAAAATGTACCCAAAAATGGCTTGCAGGGGCCAAATCTACTGCACGTGTAGCGTTCCTAGTGCCTCAAAAAATTTTCGAGAATCCCCCATAAAAAGACCATGAAATACAACTCTCTATTGGTAACAATATTAATTAAGGAGCTAATATGTTTTTCGACGTGTATTATACGGTCGTTTTCAATTCGCCTTCAGCTGCGTCCACAGCAATTGTTGTTCCGAAAAGGTTGTGCGTGCTGATCGCAGCTAATTACATACTTGACTCTCTGAAGGCGTTTTCTGTGCGAAAGTAAGAGCACCCTGTTGGAGAACAACAGAGGTGAGATCGAATAAATCGCCCAATCCCTACTTTTTTCGTTCTCCGGCAGATTACGCTACTTGCGCACATGAAACGCCTTCCGAGAGTCGAGTATGTAATAGGCTAAAGTCGGCACGCACAACATATCCGGAACAACAATTGCTGCAGACGCAACTGAAGGCGAATTGCTTTGGCGTATGAAACGCCTTCAGACAGTCGAGTATGTAATAGGCTAAAATCAGCACGCACAACATATTCGCAACAACAATATTGCTGTAGACGCAGCAGAAGGCGAATTGTTCAATTAAAAAAAAGAAAATGATAGGTAGTCTGCATGTAACGAGAGGGTGTATCCGATCGACACGAATCGACCGAAAAATAAAAACGTGAACCGATCAACACCGATTCAATGGGCAAGTAAATAAATCGAAGGCGTTTTGCCTTTTTTGCGTTTTTTCCGACTTACCCCCTACAAACCGTTTTTGGGTACGTTTTTGTCGCATTTTTTTTGTTGTTTTGTTTCGGCTTCAAGACTACTGTGTGGGGTCGTCTAACATGGGACGTGGGACGAGTTTCATTTCAGCCCTATCCTAGAACTTTCGATTATGACCCTGAAAACGTAGTCCATGTAACTCCTGGGGATTTTCTCTCGATTTTGGAGAGGAAGAAGAATTTCTAAACTATAGTCGAATCTTACGTAGAATCAATTGCGGGTGGTTTCGAGGCTTCCTACGGCTTCCAGAGCCAAGAAACGGGTGTTTTAGACCGTTTTTGAAAGTTCGCCTGCATGCGTTACTCGCCGCCAGCGCGTCCCGGACTTGTGGAGCATGCGCAGTTTTCGTTCGTGACTGGAGAGCAGGAAAAGTTAAAACTCCTTCAGTTTTTGCGTAGGCAACGTAGGTAATTCCAGATCACAAATGGTTGCATCCAGGTGCTACAATGAAAGTGGTGTATGATACTCTGGCCTCTAGCTGCAAAGTGCTCTTTTTGTTCGTGAGTGTGTGCGCAAGAATAATTTTTTCCTAGGTACGACACGTTGATGGGGGATTTTTACGCGACAAAGGGGGAGGGGGGTTCTTGGAGCAGAAAGAAAAAAATCTCCGTATGGTGCAAAAAAGTTTAATACAAATTGATGGTTTTGATTTCACGAGGTTGACTTCGGTTGGTGCATCCCATTAAAAACGCCTTCGATCAACGAAGATGCAACATCGTCTACATAGCTATTCTTATACAGGGTGTCTCACGAAAAAGGAGCCACCTTGAATATCTGCCGACCGCGTCGGAATTTCGAAAAACGGTAAAAGTCGTGTTCGTTTATATCAAGGGGGACACTTTTTGGTGTATTTGACATTTTCCCAAACCGCGGGAGGGGCGCGGGGCGGGGGATGCCCCACCCGTAAGTCGAACTTTTCAAATGGCACCCCTACTTTTTTATTTCAGTAATCAATTCTACGCAAAAAAAGCCACCCTGTCCAAACCGAATATAAACCGGACAATTTTTCAGTGATTGGCAGAGGTTGTAACAGTTTTTTTATCCTCTTTTCAAAAATTTCCCGCGCCCGATGGAATTGCCGTATCAAACCAAACTCTTCGCCAAAAAAATTCTTAAACATTTCACTTTCGATTAAAAAAAACAAAAAAAAAAACAAAACAAAAAAAAAAATCTGCTGCACTCGAAATCTGGACCAGTCGGAGCCCCTCTTTGCGACATTAAAATTTGTTTTACCGAACATTTCCGAGGGGCGCTCTTCGGGAGGGAGTAGTAAGTTTTAGACAATTATTATTCATTTTTTTTTTTTTGAAGCATAAGAAATTGTGTCCATGAAGAAGCAGTAAAGTAGAAAAACAACGCACCGCGGAAAAATAGCGTCCTCAGAAGTATCGAGGTCCGGGACCCCCCCACCCAAAAAAAAAAAAATCTAATCCATTTGTTTTTCTGCTTTACTGCTTCCTCATGGACAAAATTTCTTATGCTTCAGAAAAAAGAATAATAATTCTTGTCTAAAACTTACTAGGTACTCCTTCCCGATGAGCGCCCCTCGGAAATGTTCGGTAAAACGAATTTTAATGTCAGAAAGCTCCGCGTGCTCCAGATTTCGAGTGTAGCAGATTTTTTTTTTTTATTTTTTTATCGAAAGTGAAATGTTTAAGAATTGTTGTTGACGAAGAGTTTAATTTGATACGGCAATTCCATTGGGCGCGGGAAATTTTTGATAAGAGGATAAAAAAAATGTTGCAACCTCTGCCAATCACTGAAAAATTGTCCGATTTACATTCGGTTTGGACAGGGTGGCTTTTTTTGCGTAGAATTGATTACTGAAATAAAAAAGTAGGGGTGCCATTTGAAAAGTTCGACTTACGGGTGGGGCATCCCCCGCCCCGCGCCCCTCCCGCGGTTTGGGAAAAAGTCAAATACGCCAAAAGGTGTCCCCCTTGATATAAACGAACACGACTTTTACCGTTTTTCGAAATTCCGACGCGTTCGGCAGATATTCAAGGTGGCTCCTTTTTCGTGAGACACCCTGTATATTTGTTAGAACAAATGATCGTATGAGGTTGTTTTTTGAACAGAGCCGAAACGACTATAAAGAGCTCTACAAAGGTATATTTTATTTCACTGGCTAATTAAACTAGTCTCATTTTTTATTTCTCTTTTCTTATTTATTTTCTCGTTTTTTTGGTCATAATCTGAAGTCATTCTTTTATCTCCACAGAGGACAGTACTGCCCCACTGTTTTGTCGATAAGAGTGAAGGTGAAAAACTTTTAGGGCCCATTCTATCTCATTAAATAAAATGAATGAGTATCATATTCCGATTTATTCAATAAATATTGTCTGAATTATAGTCCCCAGGTCGCTCCTTATAAACTCCAAAAAGAGGCTTTTATACAGCAATAGCATTTTGTACGTCACAAATGTTGGCAAATACTGATTTAACCATCAAGCCTTATAGTTTGTACAGCACTTTGAACTGTAATATTATCTGTGAAAGAAGCTAAATCAGCTAATCAGCCTTATAGTTTGTACAGCACTTTGAACTGTAATATTATCTGTGAAAGAAGCTAAATCAGTGATCATGTCTCACCAATTTTTAACAATTGTGATATTCAATATGCTAATATAAAATTTAAGTTTTTTCTGCGAACTCTCTGACATCTGTACAAAATGAGGAAGGTTGAATGTTAAAAAAAAATTATGACACAACATTTATCATAGGAGGATCAGTGCTTTATTTGTTATCAATTACAAAAATTAATTATTTTAATAAATTATGAACAAAAACAAAAAATTAATAATAAAAAAAGATAAAAAAAAATGGACGGGACAAAGTAAGCTAGACACAAATGGAATCTATAATGACTGACAAGTACTACAAAAATAGAATTAATAAATTAATTTGTTGACTAAAATGTACAATTACTTTGTTTTAAAAACAATAAGTCACAGTTATTATTTTAAAAATTCTAACAATCAAGAATACAAAAAATTAATGTACATACAAGGCAACATTTTAAATTTTATGGAAACAAATTATTTACACAGTGCATGTAGCCACACACTGGAAAGTAAGTCTTCCAAAGGCTGAGGTTTTTTGATTAGAAGAAGCTCACCTTCTCCAACTTATTTCTTACGGGTTGGAGAAATAAAGCAAAGAGAATCAGTTAGGAAATCATAGAAAGGTAAGATCATGAGAGAGAGGTAGATTTAGTTTTTTTAGTGAAAAAAGGGATGACAAAGTACGAGTTGAATAACATGATACACTACCATGAAAGAAAAGAAGAAAAGAATATAGAGAGAAGTTAAAGTACTAACTGTTGAGCTGGGCTTCATCTTAGTTTTTTGTCTTTGTAGACACACGAAAAAAAACAGAGACTAAGAAAGAGAGAAAAATAGTAGGAAAAAACCTTCCCATGGGTTATGATGAAAATAGAGAAATAGACTGTAACTAACCGGGAAACACCACCACCCCTGAATTGAAAGAAATTCATTGTAAAACATGGGATAAAGACAGTTCAAAGCGGAGAAAAGTTTTAATAGTACCTACATCAGCCTTTGAAAAAATTACTAGAATGCAAAAGTAGTTTGACTTTATTTAGACACAGTCTTCCTGGTGTATGTGGTTCCTCGAATGGTTTGGGTTCAATGAACATTGTGAAGAAAAAGGATATCCAAAGCTTTTAAAATTATTGCAGGACTGATAGATAGATAGATAGATGCTTCAACAATCTGGCTTAAGCTGCATAAAAACGTGACTGCAACTCTAAAAGAGAGAACTACCAAGTTACGACTATTTTAGTTTTCCTTATCATATATATTAAACAAAACTTTGACAAGCAAACTGTCAAATAGAATGGCAACTCCCTATCAAAAAGAATCTGTACAACTATAATACAAGGAATTAAAATTAAAACGGCACTCACAGAAACTCATAAAACTTAAAACGAACTGATATGGCAGTTGAGAATAAAGGCAGCAGACAGAATGAAAGAAAGAGAAAAAAAAACAGGTTTGAGCCAGAAAATTCTTTCAACATCGAAAGCACAAAATTAAGACATCGATTTGATGAATGTTTTAAAGAACAAAAGTCTGGAGGAAAGAAGCAATTGTATTGGTAAAATATGAGAGAAAAGAAAGAAAAGAGAGAAGGTAGAAGATTTGTGAAGGACCTCACCATACGAGTAGACTGCATGATTTGAATAATGTCTCACTACTTTTACCAGGTATAAAATTTCTAGAGCCAATATGATTTTACAAGGTATTTGTAGATTTCACAATATACCTCAAGAATTGTAGTACTTGTAAGAATTGAGGGAATACACTTATTAACAATGAAATACACAAACAAAAGTATTTGATCATTGAGCAATTAATTATTAAATTCGATGTCTACGATATAAATCGACTAATTTTTCAAGCGAGCCAATTTAAAACTTGACTGGTAGTAGAGAATATTGAAAAAAAAGTAGTATTCATTTTCAACATACTGGTAAATGATACTTTAAAATCTATCAATGACTCATTTAATTTACAATAGCTTGCTACAGATCACAAACAAATCAATTAATAGGTATACTTTTTTACATACTTAAGCTTCATAAGGTTATCACGTTCAAGAGTTCCAATTACAATTGTAAAGATTAACAAACAAATATTAGACTTTGTAACATTATTTACAGCTCAATAGATTGATTTTTTCCCATTAATATTATTCATACTCACGTTTTCTTTTTTTCACATTTCTGTTCCAGAATTCCGAACAATCTGTTGACGTTATAATTATACAACTTCTTGGCAGTTTAAGGGTGAAAAAAACATACCTACATCCAAACAGACAACACTCTTGAAGTATGCATTAAATCTCACTCATTCATACTGAAAATAACAGATTCTATCAACACTATTTACAATATTTTTACAGAAAAATAAAAAAATACTATTAGTTCTAACATATTTTTGGAAACTTTGATTTTTAATCTTATTATTAATGAAAGAAGTAGTTTTCGTTGATCTCCACTGTACCAGAGAAGATCTAACTACAATATTGCACTGGGTGAAATTAACTAGGTACGAATAAGCAAAAATAAAACTAACTTTAAGTCATTGCTTTAAATTAATCTCACAATTATTTTAGATGGTTTTTAAATTTTTTTGGAGTAAATTTGCCTAATCTAAGTTAATGATTAAATTTAGTTGAGTTAGTTTTTTGCATTTTATTATTTTGATCTTGACAGTCATTCTTTGATTGAAAAATCAGACTCTCAACTACATAGAGAAACAGCTAAAAATGCGAACACAAGAGATTATTGCACGTTCATTTTTTTGAAAAAAAAAAGAAAGAAAAAAAAAAAAAAAAAAAAAAAAATACAGAATACTTGTGTTCTCATTTTTTCTGCTTTTGTCCTCATATGGCTTTCCTGAGTTTTTCCATTCTGATAATGGGGAAACTACTTAATGACTTAATTATTTCCTTAACATCTAGCTTACAATTGAGGGACAAATTAAAGGCTTGAATAATTTTCAACTCATAAGTTAGGAATCAATCATTCAGGTGTTACAAAGCAAATGTGATCCATCTACGATGGAGCTTCTGAAATATATGATTCAATAAAGCAAAGCTACATTGAAATACAAATTTTCCAACACTCCCTTTGCAAACAGATAACTTTTGCTTCGTGACACTCATTTTTGCTTGATTTTTACTAACTGTTGTATTTAGTCTCTGGCATTTTGTGCAATGGAAAACAGCTCCATAAAAAAGTCAAGATCTGCAAAAGAAATACTTAGAGATGAATTTGCTTGATAGCACAAGTTCTTAGAGCAAGGGGCAAATTTTACTCAGAACAACTCATTTTGATCAGATGCTTTTAAATTATTCTAGAGTAAAAAAATAACTAACCTAAATACAACAGCTTCACTAACTAAAAATAATGTTATATAGTTTATCACAGACATAATATGGACAGTAGACTTAGTTCATTCAACGTTGACTTTAAGGTAGAACCTCTAAGAGGGTTTTGACAAAGCTTAATTAGGAGTAAGTTCAGTCAATTAGGGTTGAAATTCTAGTTAGTCATGATCTAAACATCACGAGTGATGATAGTCGGGGGATGGTTCAGCAACAGGCTCAGGCGTTGTGAACAGAGGATTTGGGAATTCAGGTGGATGAGGTAAAGGCCCTGCCATGGTTGGTCGCCTACGGTAAGCAAGCAACCAACATGATACGGCAATGGCAACAGCAACAAGTGAAAGCAACACAGTCAAAATCAAGGCTATGACCAGACCAAGCCAAGATATGCAAACATCATCCGAGCCTCGCTGGGCCTCAGGATCACGCGGAGCAACCAATCTTTCTCCTGCTGTGTGCTCCCTTGTTCTGATAACATTGGATTGGATAATTATTTCTTCCCTCAGTTGTCCAAACAGATCTGAACTGGAGTTCGTCTTGACACTCTCAACATCCCTACGTCTACGCCTGCCGAACGCATCATAACCACGACAGTTTACAGGTTGGCATTTACCAAAACAGACACGGATATTACATTGGAATTTTATATTGTCACTACTCGGGAACTTAAAAGCATTGAAGGTTGCCAGAAGTGATTGCGTGTCTGCGTTATGCGTCCACTCTCCAAAGATAGTCGGGTCTGTTGCACAACCGTTTTCATCGGTGACATAATACTCATTTTCTACATTGTCTTCCAGAGTTTTTGCAATACAACTGCGGGCAAATCCACCATAAATACTTGAGGGTTGAACATCAACTTGCAGCATCAGATTTTCTCCGATTTCTGCCGAGTTGATTTCTTGACCTGTGCGGGTGACAATTTTCATCACACAGGTTGGTGGAGGTCCAGTGTTTGCGATTGTGCCAGCAGTTGTCAACATGGAAACGTTGAATCCGACTGTGATATTAACTTCCGGTGGAGAGTAGACACATCTTATTCTGTAAGCCTGGGCTTTGTAAGTCATTAGTTTTGGATGTTTCTGAATGACCAAAGTAAACTCTGCTTCTCCGTTGATATGAATTAAGCCACAAGTTCCGAATTGGACTTTGAATAACTCAGTTCTTGTGGTGGCATATTCCTGCGGCACATTCACTGACCGTCTACAGTTCTCATCTTTGCTGTGACCTTTAACATAGAGGAGTCCATTGAATCCAGATTCTGTGATGTGAATTTCTACTGAGACACCATCTGCCAAACAACTGACCACAATGTCTGGCCGCGGGAAATCAGCAGTGATATTTGGTACATTCGGATCTGCAAATTTCAAAAAAGTCTTTTAATAAGTTAAATGAATAGAGAGTAGAGAGCAAAAAGAAGAAAAACGGACAAAAAACTTATGTGTTGTATTATTTTGACACGAGTAAAAATAAAAAAAAATAAAAAAAAGGTAGTGGAGAAACTTTTACTTTGAAAAACACTCTTTGACATAGGTGAAGTCAAGTTTTTTAGAATATTCAGTTTAACTGGTCTCATTACTTTTAACACCTGAAAATTATGATAGAATAAGAAAAACTAAACTAGACAGATTGTTGGCACTACATTATATTCAAGCAAAAACTGCAAAAGTTGGATCTGTGCTTTCATTAATTATGTAGAATCATATTTGTTCTGCACAGTCTGGAAGAATCCAGCTAAATAAGAGAAATCACCATCACTATCACAATGTAACGTATCTAAAGCTGAGGATTATAATTACATTGATGTAGGTGAAGTTAGTCATTTTCTTTTTTCATCAACATCTCTAATAAGTCTGTCACTTCAACTTTTTTAATTGATGCTTTTCTTTCAATTTGTTAAACAAAGTAGTAGTCAAAGCCAAAACATTAGTTTTAAAAATGCTGTAAGGGTTTTAAGATGATCTACGCAGAGTGAAAGCTGTTGAAAGAGAAATTTTTGGAGAAAGAGATGGTTCATCCAAGGACTCACTGAATCACTGAAGAAAGTCAGATTAGGTTCGTCACACACATTAAAAGTCATGAATGTAGTAAATGCACAGAATACTTACGGCATTCAACATAAGCGTCTCCAGAGTAGCCTGCAATGCACTCGCAATGCGCCTTGTGATCAGAGGCATTACAGAAAGCATTGATACCACACTGAGCAGTTATGCAAACATCTTGACAGGTATGGGTTTTGAGTTCACAATATTTGACATCAGCACATTGGTCGTCTACCTCACATTCAGGGACTGATAAAGAAAAGAGAAGGAAAGATTTAAAGTTAACTTTCATGAATAGTATGATTGGTTTTTAATTCACAGCAAAGAGCACCAAAAAAAAAAGAATCTTTTAAGGGCGAATCCAGAATTTTTAGTTTTTAAGAGATACAGATATGTTATTATCAGATAAAAATAGAATTTAGTCAATTGTTTTGACCGTCAGTGATATCACCAGGCATCATAAAAATAAAAGACTGCTATTTTGAGTTGAAACATAGCCAAAGGTTTTTATTTTAAATGTAAGAGATGAACTAACGAGAAATGTGGAATTAGGCCCTATTCTAAAAAAATTGTGAAATCACAACAAATCATCCTAGGTTTTAATACGAAATGTTGAGTTCACTTCATTCTATAGGGGAGAAAAGGGAGAGGAAGCCTTGGTGTGTTTGCCTACTTCCTTCATTAAATAACAAGAAGAAAACAGCTGAACAAGCTATTTTAAACTGTAGAATGCAGCAAAGTTGCTTTCTCGTTTTTGTCAAAATTGTCTAGGCGGTATTGTTTGTTAGCCCTTGATGTAAAATAACATTTGAAGCTAGTGTGTGTAATAGTTTTAAAAGGGAAAAGGTATTACCTGGTACACAGTTTCCGTTGATATCCCTGCGGTATCCAAACTCTACAGGGCAGGTGCATTCACCTTTTTCATTGATTATGAAGCCTTTCTCTACTGCACAAACACAGCGCCCGCGTTCGTCCACTTTTAATCCTTGCTCTGGGAAACATGGCTGACATTCGTCGTTGACATTGAAAGCATAACCAGGGGGACAGATACATTCTCCTGATTCTGTGCGGATGTAACCCTTGCCAGGTGGACATTCAGCTGTAAAACAAAGAAAAAATGAATAGCGATTTAAATTTATAAGAAATTTATTTTAATTTGATATTCCATCCTGACAAATACCCCTATCCGAAAAAAATATTAAAAATAGAAAAAGGTCTGCGGATTAGAGCAGCTAGGAGAAAACTGCGAATAACACATTACTGTTGAATATCAATTTTCTAATTGATTATCTTATTTCAAAATGTAACTTTTAATTTGTAAAACACGATTGATGATGTCAATATAAAGAAATAACTCAACAATAAATGAGTAATTAAATATGAGCTTCTTTGTTGTTTCTCTACACTATCTTAAACATTTCGGATAAAGGTGCTTGAAGATTTTACAAAGAATTTTCTTACTGCAGTCTCACTTTGAGGATCCTAATATAGAAAGTTAAAGCCGAGGAACGTTTTTTAAACCATTCAAATTGAGGTAAAATTTTGTTAAATTAAATGAGTAGAATTAGTCACTAACCTTTCACACACTCAATTTGAGGGTTTCCGGTGTAGCCTGGAGGACATGAACAAACAGACTTGTGGTCTTCGACGATACAATCTGCGAACGCAGCACAATCACAAGGACTTGCACAAATTGCATTGATGCAAGCCTTGTTGGATGGACATTCTGAGTCTGAAACACATCCTATGGGTACGATTGGAGGGGTGGCTTTGCATGTGCCACTTCCGCTACTAGCGTAGCCGCTGGGACAAACGCAAACCATAGTCCTCACAGGCAAACTTGGAACAACGTTACATTCGGCAGGTGCAGAGCAAGGTTCTAAGGTTGTACATGGATTGCGGCAAATTTCATTGAAGCAGGCCAATGTGGATGGACAATCAGAGTCTTCTCTGCATTCTGGTTGTGGCTCGGGTCGACACTCAACATATGGATTTCCTAGCTCTCCAGGTGGGCATCTGCACAACGCCAGATGATTGCTCACCTTACATTCAGCGTTCGGGGCACATGGATGTTCGTATGTACAAGGATTGATACATTGAGCGTTTATACAGGCTTTACTTTCAGGGCAATCGTTACTTGTCTGACAGCCGATTGGACGACAACGGTCATATGGATCGCCTCGGTAGCCAGGTACACAGCGGCATTCAGCATGGTGACCCAGAACGTAACATTCTGCTCCATACCCACACGGGTTATCCAGGAGACATGGACTAACGCAGTTACTGTTGATACACGCCTTATCACCTTCACATTCTGAGTCACTTCGACAACCGACTGGAAAAGATGGAAAACAAAAATATTGTTATTTTTTACAAAAATAAAAAGAAACCAATAAGTTACAAATTGACCAAAAAAAAACATACCTACATGTTTCAAGAAGTAAATGTGATGCAAAAAACATGGACTACAATTGCAACAGCATGAGCACAATTGAATGTTCCTGTATTGTTTACAAGCAGATGCATTTTGGAGATAAGACTGCCAGTTAGAATCTACAACTTGTTGCTCACCAGAAAAAAATTATTTACACAATGAACAAAATTTAAGAGAAATTAATATGTGTAGATCATTTATAAGTGCACTACTGAATGAAAAAAAAAAAAAAAAAACGATTCGAGAACTTTGAGCTTTTGTTAGTAAGTATATGAATTTTGTAAATTGCACACAAATTAGTGGACACTTTCTTCGGGTGAGTAAAAAATGTCACTAAGGTATGTAATGTAACAATTTCTCTCCTAACTACCATAAAAGGGACAAACATGAGTGTAAAAGACAAAGAGAGAAAGGCGAAAATGCAGAAATATAATTGGCTGATCTCATTGAAGACAAGAACTTAACTTCTGTGACTGACAAAAGATCACAGCTTCTTGATTTATTTTTAACTCTCATTGTATACCCAGCTAGAGAAAGGGAGATAAAAGAGCATGAAGATCTGAAACAGGTTTACATTTCTACAGCGTTACATACCTGGTCTACAAGCAATGTTTGGATTTCCTTCATAGCCTTCTTGACAAGAACAAACAGGGAAATGGTCACGCACAAAGCAGTTGGCATTAATACCACAATCACAAGGGTTGCGACAGAGCCTGTTGATGCAAGTTTCATTGTTGGCACATTCGCTGTTAGACGAGCAGCCGGGAGGACTTGGTACAACAACTGTTGAGGCAAAATAATGAACGGTTACAAAAATAAAAAACAGAACTAAACAGAATGCGAAAAATACATTTTAGACAGGTTTCAAATTGAATGCAGCTATGATGCAGAGCCATAGGAAAAAAAAAATTAACTGTCACTAAAATAGAAAAGGGTTCCACAGAGAACAGGTGTGAATTTCGATTCTTTGGCCAGTTTAGTTACCTTAAAATAAAAACGAAAAAGTTTATAAAACTGTATTTTGGGTATTCTAGATAATGATGCAGTAACGATGTTCAGGAACTACCAACAGAGGGATATGGAAAAACCTTGCTTAAAATATTTTTTTTCTTTTAAAAAAATGAAACTTAAGCAAAACATTCTACTTGTGATTTCCCACTAATGCTTTCATTAATTTAAACTCTTTTCACGCACCAAAGAATCATGAAAAACCAAATAGCTACAAATTGAAAATTGTTGAATAAAGTAAAAAAGGGAAGAGAAGCTGAAACTGACCTGGTTTACATTCCCCTTCGTCATTGGGAACCCAGCCATCTGCACAAGTGCAAGTCATTGTCCTGACAGGTATACTGTCAAAAACATTGCATTTTGCAGTATGAGAGCAAGGACCTAGTTCATGACAAGGTTCGACACACTTCTCATTGATACAAGCCAGTCTACTTGGGCAGTCAGCGTCGATTCTACACTCAGGTTCAGGTTGTGCTTGGGTCACGGGTGTTCGCTCACAATATGCGAGAGGGTTTCCGAGCGGAATATTTTCTGGACAGCGGCATGCAACATTGTGGTTCCGTACATAGCAGATGGCGTTGGATGCACATGGTGAGTTGACACATGGATTCACACAGTGCTGATTGTGGCATGCTCTGTCAGATGGACAGTCCGTATCAACATAGCATTCCACACGCTCACAATGGATAAGAGGATTTCCGTTGAAGCCTGGAAGACAGCGACAGGCTGCCCGATGATTTTCTCCGTAGCATTCGGCGTTGGTGGCACAGGCATCACCCAAGATGCAAGGGTTGACGCATTGACTGTTGTAGCACTGGAGATGAGATGGGCACTGATCGTCTGATTCACATCCAACTAAAACGAAAATAAAACAAAAAAATTAAAGTCAGTAAAAGAGAAATAAATAAAAATAAAAAAAAAATCGAGAAAATATTAGATCAAACATTGCTCGTGACTATCCTATTAACTGATAACTGCTTATGATTCAACTGATTTTCTCCGAAAGACTTCAAAATTGTTGGGTAAATATGAAGTTTACATAAATTTCCAAGTTCTCAGAAACACAGAGAAGTAAAAATTGATAGAAAATCAGCATTTTTGTGTAAAAATTCATGAAACAATTGAAGTAATCTATTAAAATACCATCTAATTTTTAGGCTGACACACACAAAAATGGAAAGAGACAATAACAGATAAAAAGTAGAACTGAGCAGGGGCTGGTAGCAGTGCTCTAATAAAGGCATCAAGAGAACACATAATAAGGGAGATGGTTTTTCATCAACTACAAAATTGCCTGGTACATGCAGAATTAGTTGACCCACTTATGTACTTTTTAGAATTGATTGGAATAGCAACACAATAATTAATGTCCATATGTACTGAGTAACTTTTTAATTACACCTTTACTTTTAAAAAAAAAAGGGAGTCAAGTCCTGATTTTGAAATATGAATAAGGAATACTTGAAATCAAGCTAACCTTTGACACATCCGATTTGAGGATTTCCAGAATATCCAGGCAGACATGAACAAATTGGATAGTGATTGATAACTCTACACTCTGCGTTGGGGCCGCAGTTGCAAGGGCTAACGCAAAGCCGATTGATACAGGACTCTTGAGGTGAGCACTCGGAATTAGAGGTACAGCCAACAGTTATAGCATCTGCAGCTGTAAAATTGTAAAGAAAACAAAAAGGTGAGAAATTTCATTTTTTAAAAAATGAATTGCGACTCAACAATTGATCATAATGAAACTAAAGTCAGCTTAGGTCAATGTGAGAGCAAAATATAACTAAGTAAAAAAGTTAACAAATTATAACTTTTATACTGACAATACTGTAGCTCATAAAAATCTATACTTGTTTATAAAAAAAAGAATGGTTCCATCAAACATAAAATGAGCTCAGGAACATTGTCTGGAGATCTTCTTATGGTAGTTTTAGTTTATTACAATGCAATTTTAAAAAGCAGTGTTTTGATAGAATTTAAAGTATTTAATACTTTTGGAGAGGGGCTGTTTACAAGAGGAACAATGCCATTGACAGGATGAGAAAACAGGTTCTTAGCTGTAGACAGCATGACATGTTCTCATAATTTTCCTTTTAAAAAAAGACAATTATTTTAGAGAGACACTTACGAGGTCTACATTCGATTAGTGGGTTTCCAGTGTAACCAGGTGGGCAACGGCATACTGGTTTGTGGCCTTCGACATGGCAGAAAGAGTCACGAGAACATGGTTGATGAGCACATGGATTGACACACCACTGATTTATACAGCCGAGTCCTATGGGGCACTCATCGTCCCTTGAACATTCTGGCTGAGGTGTTATTTGTGGTACTAGAATTGCCAAACAGAACAAAGCGTTAAGTAAATTCAAATGGAGGAGGGAGACAACAAGAGTGATGAGAAAACAAGATGAAACCACAAAACGTAAGCAAATCTTCTTGCATCTTCTTAAAAATGTCATGCAAGAGTACTCCCTATTAAAGACAAGTTTTTACAAGATCAGAAAATTCCATTACATATTATTTTGAACTTATTATCTTTCTTACTTAATAGAGAACGAATAAAGAATGAAATGGACTAAAAGAGGTGGTATTTTTTTTTTTTTTACTACTATATTCTCTTCTTACTATGAAACAGGAGTAGCGACTTACTTGTTGCACATTCAATGTGAGGATTTCCAATGTAGCCTGCAGGACAAGAACAGATGGCTTGATGGTTGCGCCCAATGCATTGTGCATTGATACCACAAGGCTCAACACGACAAACATCGGTGCAAACACCTTTGAGACAAATTTCATGATCACGGCAGTCTCCAGACACATGGCATTGGGGTTCTTGCAGAACAACTAAAATCACAAAAAGGACGCAAAATGAGAAATGAGAACTCCAATTCATGAGAGTTAGTGAAATCAGAATTTTTCAAAAAAAATCTATTGCATTTTCGAATTTACAGAGGCATAAAATAAAGTCAAATAATTTTATTTATGAAGAAACTCTTAGTAAGTGGCATTATTTACTCCAACATGGTTTAATTATTACAAGTAAGAATTTATTTTTTTAAAGCACCTTCTGATAGCACCTTGTGCTGATGTATTTCACTATGCAACATTGCGGGATTCATCTTATTTTACAACAAAACAATCATTTTGGGACAAAAAGTTTTTTTTTTTTCCTATTCTGCAAGGTGTAAAATTGTTTTAAGCAAACTGAAAGCTCAAAACTGCGTTAAAAGGAGCAAAGCTGAAAATCAGATGTAAGTCATTTGATACTTACCAATAGGTCTGCAGTGGCCATCAGGGGTTGCAATTGAGTCTGGAGGACACTCACAAACAACTGATCTTAATGGCAGGGTATCAAGGACCCTACACTTTTGCTCCTTGGCACAAACATCGGAGGCTAGACAAGGGTTTTCACAACGCTGGTTGATACAACCATAGCCAGATGGACAGTCCGAGTCTTGTATGCAGATAGGAGCTGGAAGTCTTGGATCTAAATTAGAAACAAAAGGAAATTTTCAATTTTAACATGAAAAATTCTTCAGTAAACAAAAAAAACAAAAACTCATTATTGGTATAAAAATGAATTTTTTCCTGGGTAAAACAATTTAAAAATAATTTCGATAATTTGTGCTTTTGTTAAAAATTACCAAAAAAACCTCCCAACAGAATAACATCATGACAAAGCTGCACTATTTAACAGTAAAGTGTCGAGCTGATATGGCTTTCAGTGCAAATATTTATTGAAAAACATTTATTTTAAAAATTTGTAATGGTAAATTTTGAACATTCCTCTCTGTGTTATTCCTTAAATATCAATATGTTACCAGCATTAAGAGAGTGAAAAAGTTACATCAAAGAAGCCTTACGTTTGCATTCAATGTATGGGTTTCCTTCAGAACCAGGCAGACAAGAACATGTGGGTTGATGATGTGCTGCTGTACAAATGGCGTTGGGAGCACAAGTGTCATCTTGACAGACCGGCCTACATTTTCGGTTGAGACGGTCACAAGCTTCATGGTCTGCGCAGTCTTCGTTGTATTGACAAATAACACCAATGCAAGACAACAGTGGATTTCCTTGAGTTCCGAGAGGACAGACACACTGTGGGTGATGACCTTGCACATGACATTCTGCTCCCCTACCGCAAGAGGTCTGCAAACAGGGGTTCACGCAGTTGCTGTTCATGCAGGCTTTGTCGTATTGGCAGTCGCTATCATGTTTACACTCGGCTGGAAAATTTGAAACATTTCATGCATTAGATACAGTTTAGAAAAAACAATTTGATTGAATACGTATATATTAGCCTTGATAATGTGGGTTTACAGGGATAAAGAGAGTTAGGTGCCTTCCCATTTTGAAAACTTATTTTTTCCTCAGGAATTTTGAAGTGATGACCTTAATATGACTCGGTAGAAAAAAATTGCTGTGATTTTATCCAAAAAATGCGATTTTGCTAGCTTTTTCATTTTTAAAATCCGCGTTTGGGGCCTTCCAATTTTTGCATGTTACTGATTTCAACCCACCAGGTCGGGTGGTCAAGTCGGGTGGTCAAGAAGTTTTAGCACCACTGTGAGTTTGAGTTCTTAGTTGATTAAATATTTGATTAAGCTTATGAAAGTAGGGGTTGAAAAATGATTCCTCAGGATTGCACTAATGTAAGAGGAATGAAAATACACAACCGTAGAAAAAAATAGTTTCTAATTGATGGTCTTGTAACTAATCCCGGGTTTTTCGGCAAAAACCATGTTCTGCCTACCTAATACAGGAGAAAGTTGGATAACCTAAGCTTACTTTAATACATGAGAACAGTAACAAGTAACATACAAGTATAACTTTAAGATATCAAAAAGTAACTACATGCAGAAGAGAAGGGGAAGGAGTCTATAGTGCAACTCTCTCTTCACTCTTGGAGATGTTTGCGAAACTTTCAACACAATATAGATTCTGGGCAGGATAGGGGTGATATCGAGAAAATGGAATCAGAGAAACACTTTCAAAACTAACATGTTCAAAGGGATGCCGTAGAGAAAAAGGACGAAAATTTTTAATCACTTACGTTTATAACAGCTGACTTGTGGGTTACCAGCCCAGCCACTTGGACAATCACAGAGAGGTCTATGATGTGACACAAGACATTCTGCCCCAGGACCACAGGGATTACTGACGGTGCAAGGGTTTTGGCAGCGCTGATTGATACAAGCGGCAGTGGGTGGACATTCAGAGTCTGCAATACATTCTGGCGAGGCTTCAGGTACTGTTGAGAAAAGAAAAAAGTAAGTTTGATGAGAAAAAGAAAAAAGAATGGAGACAAATGATACTGAAAATAAAAAATTGGATTGCAATTAAGAAAACAATAAAAAAAGAGGAAAAAATATCTTGTTGTGCAAGGAACAATCTAAATTTGTACTTTCAATTTGTGATGAATTATAATTCGAATTCCTTTTCTATTGTATTCGTGTTAAGAGAGTGAACATCAGCCTTCTGTTTTTTGTTTAATACGTAATAAAAAAAGGTTCATCGAAAATGATTTGACAGGGATGCTTGGCAAATTAATCATTATTTATTACTACGAAATGCCTATTTAAACAATTGATCGATTCTTACTTTTGTAGCAGTTGATAAATGGATCACCAACAAGGCCAGGTGGACATCTACATAATGTGCGATGATTTTCAGCAACGCACTCTGCAGATGGTGCACAAGGACTAGATACAGCGCAAGGATTGACACACAGCCTGTTGATGCAAACTTCTGAGAACTGACATTCAGAATCACTCCTACACCCTGGTTCAATCTGGGCAGGAGCTGAAATTTAGGCATGAAACAAGAAGTTAGCCAATAACATAGGATTGATAAAAATGTATGATTTGACCTGCAGATCATCTTTGATTTTATGGTGGAAAACTTCTGCGCTGTTATTGAAATAAAAAAATTCTACAATCAATCAAGATTCAAAGACTTGGAATATGGTAAATTTTAATTTTCAGAGCTATTTGTTGAAAACTTTTAAAACCAAAACTTTTTTGGTGCTTTTGTTTACCAAAAGCAAGATAATTGATAAAAAGTTTTTTAGAGGACTCGGGAACTTTTTTCACCACTCAAAGGTACAAAACTTAAGCAAGGTAGCACACAGGTAATTTCGATTGTAAACGTAGCTTCTGGATACTCAAAGGGTCTCATAATCCAAATAAATATCTCTGCCTTTATTTGACAATATTTGAACTGTGCATGCTAAATTCAATGTATTAATGTACAATTGCAGGTGCAATGTTTTCAAAGTGAAATGAATAGTGAGTTAGAGGGATGCAAAAAAACTGAAATGAAATGAGATAGCAGTGTGTTGCTGTCGTTTTAAACATTACACACCAGGGGGAATGATGGAGAAGGACAAAAAATAATAAAACCTGGAATCAAAGACACACGATCAAAAAACATAAAGAAAATAATTTCATACTTAGATAATCATAGAAAAAAAATAAGTAATGATGGATTCTCAATCTTTAATTGTTATGGATACTTTGAAATGAATGATTCGAGATTGAACCGTTCAAAGAGTATATCAGAGGTTTAATATTTCTCTTACTTTTACTGCATTATTAAAACTAAACAAGTGAAAATAAAATGTTTAATCATTTGGCAGAAAAGTTTAGAAGAGATTTTCCTTCTTTCATTTTATGTTTTATTTTTTGTAGATATAATCACTGAGTCTGTTCTTGCATCAATAGGGCTCTATTCCTTTGTATGCAATTTTTGGCAAAAGAAAAAGTGGAAATTTTGAGCATACCTGGTTTACACTGGACATCTGCATCACCAACAAATCCAGGAAGACACTCGCAGGACATAGTGCGGAGCGGTAAAGTATCAATTACTGTACACTCTGCATTGACACCACAAGGTCGAGTTTCGAGACAAGGATTGCGGCAGTTGCCTGAGAAACAAGCAAGCTTGCTGGCACAATCAGCGTCTTGTTTACAACCAGTATCAGCTTGGATAGGAACTGGAATAAAATTAAAAAATGAAAATTTAAAGATGTAGACAAGTACAAATTCACGATGGAGAAGCAAAACAGTAAATCGTTTAAAAATACTTTACTTCTTTTAAATGAGAGCAACGAATGAGAAATAAACATTGTGACAATAGAATAAAGTTAAATTTGAGAACATAAAATAATTCACTCCATAAGCTCCCAATGGTATCAAATTTACACCCAGTAGGACAAACTCACTAGGTGTTGTTAGGAAAAAAGAGAAAATATTTTTTTAAGACAGATAATATCATCTCACTATCATACAAAGGAGGTGAATAAAGGAGGAAAAGGAGATTGTCAATCCCTAATTAATTAAAATCTTCTAGGTAGGTACTTCACAAAATTATATCCTTCCATGACAGATCATTAGAGGTAGTTTTTCATTGATAATTGCAGAATCATAACAAAAAAAAGATGTAATACATGTTGCTGATAACATATTGCAATTTGTTGGGGGAAATGTTATATTTAGTTTGGAAAAGATACCAATATTATTACACACTATTACTTATTTTTATTACTTTAAGAATGAAAATAAATAAGAAATAAACATACCAATTGAGCAGGATTCATGGGGGTTCCCAGTGTAGCCAGGTGGACATTTACAAGTTGGTATATGACCGAAAACGGTACAGAGAGCGTGTGGCCCACAGTTGCAAGGATCAACGCAACGCTCGTTTTTACAGGCCAGATGCTGAGGACACTCACTGTCAGAGGTGCATTGAGGACGAACGCACTGCACAAGTGCGTCTCCCCGGAAAGATGGTGGGCAGTAACAACGAGCTCTGTGATAGTTGTCTGGGCGACACTCAGCGTTTTCACCGCAGCGAGTAAATGAGCAGGGATTTATACACTCACGGTTTATACAGGCCTCTGTTGGAGCACACTCCGAATCAGAGCGACAGCCAACTGGAAAAATTACAGATTTCTTTCAACGATCACAAAACAAAATAAGAAGTACCTATTGTAAAGTAATTAATTTAATAATACAACGATGCACATTTAAGGACCAGACATTGATGAGTTTTGCGAATTACCATTTTTATTTTTAAATTTTGCCTCTGATTTATTTTCTAAGTACCTGCATTATTTTTTTTCAAAACATGCAATCGCCCTTACAACACTTTTAAGATTATTCACATTATCTCAAGTTTTTCAGGACCATTTCAGTTCTTTCACTATCTTGCACTTTAGTTGCCTTTTGCTGAGTGTTGAATAAGTGAAGAATATATTTTGTTGAGCTTTATAGATAAGAAATAAAAAACTGTGGCTCCGGGATAATATCACTAACTTTCATTTAAGAAACTAATTCATTACTCACTTTCATAACACTGAGTTCTGGCATCTCCTGTCAGTCCAGGTCTGCATGCACAGATTGGTCGATGGTATTGGACATGACATTCAGCGTTAAATGCACAAACACCGGCAGTGCATGGGTTCCTACACATTTGATTGATGCAGGCTTTGTCGTTTGGACATTCAGAATCTGCGACGCATTCCGGTTTTGGTTCTGAAAAAAGAAGAAGAGCAATGTGTTTTTTAATGAGTGTTGAAAATGCAGAATTCACTATTTACCCAAGAAATAAAGAATTATGGAAAAATTAGGTGTCCAGAAAAATCTCTGCAAAACTTAAAGTTATTCGAGAGCTCTTCAATCTTATGCAAAATGTTTCAATCGTGGCCATACTTCACTTCTACATGCAATTAAAAAATTCTTTTTAATCTCTACTCCTCATATATTAATGCTTGCTTTTTGACATCAGGGAAGGAATTAAGAACTTTTCTTCAAGAACAACACAAGATAGGGACAGAACATCTACTCAGAAGATCTCTTAGACTTACCCTCAAGTGGCCTGGGTCTACACTGCACGAGGGGCTCGCCGATGAATCCTGGTGGACACGAGCACACAGGTTGATGGTTTACGGTGCGGCAAATAGCGTTCAATCCACACTGACCAACACATGGGTCAGAGCATTTCTGATTGAAGCAAGCTTTATCACGAGGACAGTCTTGATTGATGACACATTCTGGGTAAACGCATGTTGCGGCACCATTTACGCTGTGGCAGATTCCGTTTTGTCGGCATGGTGATGGATGGCATGGATCAATGGGCTCAGCTGAAAATCGGAATTCACCAAAAATTAGAAATGATCACTTGCTTGCAAAAAACCTAATGACATAAAATGTCTAGGCAGGAGCATAACCCGAGAGAAACTTGAAAAAGTACAGAACCACCAATGGAAATGAGAGGTTGTCTTTACAATTTTGTAAATATCTTAGATTTTTCTTGATTTTTTAATTTTTAAAGATTTTTTATTCATTCCTAAAGAAACACAATACCTTTAACTCAAACTTTACTTCTGCTTGAAAAAATTGGTAAGATTTTAATGCTAAGTATTAAATGCAGGAAACTTGTGTCATGCAATCAGACCGAACGTCTTCAATAATTTAATAGATTCAGAATAAGTTTTAATATGAATTAACACATTCAATGACGGCCTTTTATGATTTTATTTAATGTATAAAAAATTTTGAAGGAGAAATATTAGCAATATTGCTGATTAGTGAAGTGAAACAAAAAACTGGAACACAAAGTAAAGAGAGGACGATAAGCAAATAAGATGCTCACATTTAGAAAAGATAGTTATTGAACTTACCAGGAGCATTGTGGCATTCAACGAATGGATCTCCAACCATAATTGTTGGACAAGAGCAAACAGGACTGTGGTTAATGACATTGCAGAGGGCATTGAAACCACAGACGCCTGGACACGGATCACGGCATTTGTTGTTGACGCAGGCTTTGTTCCTTGGACAATCCGCACTGATGACGCACTCTGGGCGACATCCACTGTCACTGGGAGATCCATAAAATTCAGGTAGGCATTCACAAATGGCCAAGTTGTTGACAACTCGGCAAATTGTGTTCGGTCCGCATGGAGATGGATGGCAAGGATTGACTGGAACAGGTTCTGCAGAACAGAAAATTACTTTCATTGTAAAAGTATAAAAAGATAAGAGTAAAAATAGAAGAATATTCACAAAACTCAAGTAGAGAAGGAGGCAAAATAAAATGAAACTCATATGAAAAAATGTTGTGGTGTCAATCATAGGACTGAGAGTCTGAAAAGGGACCCCCTCCAAAAAAGAAAAGAGTGTCTCCACCATAACAGTTTTAAAGATTTAGTTTTATTTAAAAAATTATAAAATTGTCTCAAAATAAATAAATAAATAATAATCCAGAGAATGATTCTTTTTCCTATTAATGAAATTAAAAAATTCAGACTGCTCTTCTTGGAAAGTAAACGACTTTCTCAAAATGCCTCGAAATTTGAGCACTTTTTACGTGATAAGAGAAAAAACTGCAAAATATATATCCTGTCTAATTCTTTAAAATAATATTACAAAAAAAATTTAGTGGCGCTCATCAGACAGTATACGACCATAAAATACAATAAAAAAAACAGTATTACTATTATTCTAGCCCATCTATAAGCATTGCCAATGTTCAAAAATAATTTTTTTGAGGACACACACTTGACTGCAGGACTTGTGATCACTTAATAATTTTGATGTGAAATTTTTTTTGTGATCTCTTTTTACATTATGACTCACAAATGAGCTTGAGCAAAATGTAACACATACAACTCAAGATAGGATTCGAATAAACTTGGAACTTTTAGGAAAATAAAAAAAGGAACTTACCTGCTTGTGGGATAGGTCTGCAAAGTCTGAAAGCATCACCGGTGGTACCTGGTGGGCAGGAGCAGATAGGGATATGATTCGATACCGTACAAATGGCAGAGATACCGCACGTTCCAGGACAAGGGTCACGACATTTGTTGCGAATACATGCCAGACTCATTGGGCAATCAGAGCTGACAAGACATTCAGGTCGGCAACCTTCATAAGGATTACCCTGATATTCTGGGATACACTCACAGACAGCATAGCCCTGTTCACTTCTACAGCGTGCATTTGGCCCACATGGAGATGGATAGCAAGGATCAGTTGGCGCAGCTGCTGTAGGTGGGGGCGCTGCAAAATGGATACAAAAATACAGAGATTAACATTTGTTCATTTGAAATTTAAAATGGGAAGATCGTAGGGTTCAAATTTTTATACGAACATAAATTACGCTTGGGGTAACTTTACCTCTTTTCAAAATATATGGATTGAAATAATTGAATTTTTTTATGCTTGAGGTTCTAATGAATGACAAATTTAAGGAGAAATTTCTATATTTATAGGACGTGTGGGCCTTCACACATAATTTTCAATCTTTCATATGAGATAATGTTACTTTGTGATACAATTCCTTTCATTAACAATCATTAATCGCTTTCTGCGCATTACCATGAATTTTTTAAGATTTACTTTGAAACAGAGACAGTTTCAAGGAAAATTGAATATTTGAAAAAAAAAAATGTAACACAATAGACAATCATGCATAATATGAATATTTAGGGATGAAAAAAAGAAAAAATCATGCAATATACTTTGTTGATCATGCAAAATAAATATATGAGTGAAAGAAACTAATTATGATAATTAGATAAAATCCAAAGATGAATCGATGAAACAATCCACACTCACACACAATAAAACGCACTTGATCAAACAAAGCCATGGCAAAAAAATATCTTTGCCAAAATAGAGAGCGACAAAATCAACGAATCAGCAACCAGAAACCTCCTAACATATATCATTTTATTGACTGGATTTGAGAAATTATTGCAAACCAAAGAGGTTTGAGGTTCGATACAATTAAAAAAAAAAAAAGGCGGATACGTCAGAGAGAGCTGATACGATAAAACATATCCATTACACAAATATATTCCATTCCATCAATGGTAATAAACGACGCTATTGATGTGAAACACACCAACTTATTTAGACTACTTAGTAACAATAAGCTGAAACAATGATGTTGCTGAAAAGAACAAAGATATAATGAGATTAGTGGATCAAATTTCATATCCTGCTGCTTTTAGGCTGAAAAAAAATCAAATATTATTTGCAAGAATAGCATGAAATAAGCAGTACAAAAATAAATAAATAAAATAAAAAGTAAACCCGCATCAAAATTACAAGAAAAATTGTTAAAACAAATAACAAAACTACACGGCAGCAAAAAGCAGAAATACAAAAAAAATTCTTAAATGTTTGCATGTTAGTGACAAAATTAAGCTACTCAAAAATAAAAACCAGTAAAGTAAATAAACTACTCTACATTTAAGCTTTGCTTCAGATATTATGTTAAATTAGCACACCTTCACTGACTAGATAGGCTTAAAATTAAATAAATGAATGAACTAAAGAGAAACCCATAAAAAACTCAAAAGCTGAAAAATAAACCAAAACAAAAAAGTACAGTATGAACCATTGGAATATCTATGGTTGCATTACTCAATTTATACGAAGCTGAAGCAGCGCTTAGTTTAAAACCATTACTTGAAGCTTGAGTTTGACCAGCAGGTGCTAGATTGGTTCTTTTAATCGTCAGTTAAAATTTGAGTCTCATTAGTCTATTTCTTCAATTTTGATTAATCTCCAAGAGAATACTAAGTTGATTTATACAAGCTCCTTTGTTTCAATAATGTGCAATAGTCAGACAGGGAATGTTTAATATGTGTTTCAAACTTTTGTTTAAAAGAAAAGATACTTTCAAGATGTACACAATGTGAATAATGAATTAAATAAAACTTATATGAGTGATCTTTCAGAGATCTGCGCAAAACATGGGTATCTTCCAAACAAACTCACCGTTCTTGAAAAATAATGAGGTAATAGTAAACGAAACAGACGAATTCATGAAAAAAAAAAAAAATTAAAAAACAGTTCATGAGAATATTAAAGGAAGGACTAGAACTTTGAGATCTTAAATTAGTGGAGATCAAAGGTAGCTTTGAAAATTATAAAAACAAGAATATGGTAATTAGTGCAAAACCAACAAAAAAACAACTAAAACGTGAAACTTGAGGTGGATGGCACAACTTGTCTGAGTCGTAAAAGTCGATGTCCAAAAAGAGAATAGCCTGTTGAGGCCAAACGTTAATGAAGCCCAAATCAAAAGCACCAACTCTACCTAACCATAAAAAACTCCGTGGTTTCAATCTTACATGATGGTTTCAAAGTACAAACAGTGAACGGATCGCCTACGTATCCGTTCTGGCAAATACAGTTCGGAATGTGTGCAACGACTTGACATTCAGCGTACAGGCCACAAGATCCTGGACAAGGGTCACGACACTTCTGGTTGATGCACGCTTGCGTAGATGGACAGTCGCTGTTTGAGACGCACTCTGGACGGCAATGAGGCGGTGCCCCTTGATAAAATTCCAGACATGAACAGGAAGGAGTGTTTGATGGCGACACGATGCAAGCTGAGTTTGGTCCACAAGGATTTGGAACACATGGATTGACTGGCTCAGCCTGAGGGATAGGTGGGGGTGGAGCTGTTGAAAACAGAGAAAATAATGGTTCATTAGTTTCAAAATAGTTACCAAATTTAATCAGTCAAGTGAATGTTTTTTTTATTAAAAACCTCATTTTTTATGTGCACAATTCAAATTTTTAAGTAAAATTCATTAAATAATGAATTATTTTGCATTTGTTAGTGATGTAAAATTTTGAAATGCGATGACCAAACTTTCTTTTAAAAAATTTGTGTTTGCTGTTGTTTTTGTTCCTGACAGATACGCTTCACCATTTTCAGATTATCAAGAGACCCCATAAAATTTTTTCCAAAAACGTCGAATATTTTGATAATAATTTAAGCATAATTCATCGTCCTTGGCTCAACTAAAAGGCAAAAGTTTTGAGACAGGAATGAACATTCTGGATGAAAGACAATGGCTCCACTCCTGTTTAATTTTTTTGAAGCAAAGTGAATAACGCCAGTAACTGCAAAATTTGTTAGCTTTTTTATTTAAAAAAAAAACTGAACCCCAATTGACACATAAAATTTCAGAGGAAAACCAATTGTACATAATTTCAAGAATTGAAATTACTTACGCTGACTGAAACATCTTGTGAATGGATCTCCCGTCAGCTGCGGAGGGCAGCTACAAACAGGATTGTGATTAATAACATTACACAGAGCGTTCAGGCCACATGTTCCAGGGCAAGGATTAATGCAGTGTTGATTCACACATGCCTCACTGGGGCGACAGTCCGAGTTAACAGTGCATTCAGGTCGGCAGGTAGGTGGAGCACCAATGTAGTTAGGCAGACAAGAACAGACGGCTTGATTGTTCACTTGACGACAATGACTGTACGGACCACAAGGTGAGGGCTGGCAAGGATGCTCTTCCACAGGAGCTGTACAAAGATGAAAAAATTAGTTTCAGAATTGTAGAAATTCTTCATGATGAATGGAAAAAATTACCTACAGATAATTTTGAATGGGCAAGTAGGATTTCTCTGATCTATTAACTATCAACTAAAATTTAAAATTCACGATTACATACAATATTTTACAGCATTTAAACTTCATTAAAATAACAACTTGGATGCTTGCTTTACCAATCAAAGGCATTGATTGGTAATAAAAAAACAAGATATTGTTATAGAGAATGTAAGCACTCACCAGCTTGAGGTGAACATTGAACAAACGGATTGCCAGACATGCCAGTGGGACAGCTGCAAATCGGGATGTGATTGACAACATCACAGATCGCTTGAACACCACATGTGCCGGGGCAAGGATTTTTGCATTTCTGACGAATACATGCTTGATCCTTGGGACAGTCATCATTGAGCACACACTCCGGTCGACAGCCGATGTATGGGTCACCTTGATACTCAGGTATACAAGTGCAGATACCGTCTCGACAGTTAGCATTTGGACCACATGGTGATGGATAGCATGGGTCTTTCGCTGGTTCAGGGATAGGCGCGTCAGCTGTTAAAAGAAAACGGGAAAATTGAAATCTTGGATGAAGCATTTTGGATGGAGAAGCAAATTGAATCTCACCGGAAAATGAATCTGAGAGAGAATCAAAATTGAAGTGACATTTTTCACCTCATATTTGAAATTTAAATAAAATTATGACCTGCAACATTTTTTAAGTAAACTTAACATACACTTGTGATGATTACAAGTCAAGTGACTTGTAAGTACAACTTACTTCACTTTAATTCTGCATATCATATTGTACATGTTAATATACACTTGGACGTGAATATTTAAGTAACCTGTCAATATTATTAGTGCATAAGATAATGAGGGGAAAATTTAACACAATTCATTTCAATTTACAGATTTCGACGAGATAGTTTCTAAAAACAGACTTGGTAAAAAAAGAAGAAAAAGTTGGGGCATTACCAGGTTTAGGGTAACAATTGGTGAATGGGTCGCCTGTGTATCTATCCGGACAGAAGCAATTGGGCACATGGTTGACAACCTTGCACTGAGCGTTAATTCCACAAGATCCAGGGCATGGATCAATGCACCTTTCGTTGATGCAAGCCAAGAGAGGACTGCAATCGGCATTGATTGTGCATTCTGGGTGACATTGGGGAGGACTTCCATAATAACGAGGTAAGCAAGAACATTGCGCAGTTCCGCCAACATCTCTGCACTGAGAGAATGGACCACATGGTGATGGTACGCAAGGATCTCGGTACGGTTCTTGCTGCACAGGAGGCGGAGCTGAAAATAAAAAATGAAACGAAATATAGACCGATTGATAAAAGATGAGAGGCTATCAAAAAATATGGTAGGGTTTGAAAGACTTTTGCGTAACCGGCTTACGGTAAAAAATAAGACTTTTGATGGAATAGGATTTTATATGTACCTTATTCAACAAACTTGTTGACACAACAAAAAGGGCTGGAGTAAGAATTCATTGCTTTAAAGGATTGACTTCAAATCCAGGAGAGAAAAATAAAGAGGCATTGCAAAAAAATGAATAAAAAAAAATTGAGGAAAATAGAAAAAGTAAACATTTTCCAACCGAATGATAGGATAAAACGAGCTGCTCTTCATAAACTATTTTTGTTGAGACTTAAATGATGCAAAGGCTGTGAGCAAAAAATAAAGAAAATATGAGCTTACGAGGAATAGGATTGCATCTGAGGAATGGATCTCCAGAATGTCCAGGTTTACAGCTACAAATTGGACTGTGATTGATGACAATGCAAACAGCGTTGATTCCACAGGTTCCAACACAAGGATCTACACATTTCTGATTCATGCATGCTTCGTTGTGAGGACATTCAGCACTGACAGTGCATTCTGGTCTGCAAGCTGGTGGATTGCCAAGGTATGTGGGTAGACAAGAACATACTGCTTGGCTATTTACTTCACGACATTGACTGTTTGGTCCACAAGGAGAGGGTATGCAAGCTGGTACATCGTGAACAACAGCTGAAATAAAAAAAAATCACATCAGAAACTTTCACATATTTTCCACAGTAAAATCGTAATTTTAATTTGACAAACGTCAATGCTGAAGAGAGAGACTACTGATAAAGATTAATATAGAAAAAATAAGTCATCAAAATCAGAAAACTAATTTTTAAAGAGATAAGTGAACATTGAATCTTAAAAGATTTCTCTAAATTTAAATTTATAAACCATTGCTCTAAGTTACAGAAAAAAAACTGCAGTAAAGTATACATTTTGAGAAAAATAGAGAGCAAAATATTAATTCAGAGGCAGGCCAGTATATTCTCAAAAATAGAACTCTAAAACCTTGAGCACAATCATAAAAAAAACTACTAGTTAAACTTGAAATAAAAATTTGTGCAACTTGTTTGTGAAGATCAATCAGTTCTATTAGGTGCACTTTTTATTTTTGATTTTATTCGGTATAAACGTACGTGGAGTTGGTGGAGTGTAGACAGAGCAATATTTGAATGGATCTCCTGTGTATCCTGGTAAGCAAGTGCAAGAGGGCAAATGGTTGACAACTTGACAGTCGGCATTTGCACCACATGTACCAGGGCAGGGGTCTTGGCACTTGTTCCGAATGCAGGCTTTATTTGATGGACAATCTGTATTGATGACACACTCTGGTCGACAGCCCTCGTATGGGTTACCGATGTATTCAGGTAGACAAGTACATGAGCCAGCATTGTGATGTTCCTTGCAAATAGCATTTGCTCCACACGGAGATGGTGTGCATGGAGTGATCACTTCATGTATAGGCTCAGCTGAAAATTAAAGGACACAAATAAAAATAGCATTAATTCATCGAGTAGTGTGAAATTGGGACTAAATTAAAGGAAACGAATGCGTTAAAAAAATATGATTGCTGTGACACATAACATGACATAACAGAAAATCAACTTCAAAAGGTGTTCCTCCCTTGATTTTTTCAATCATCATTGCACCTGAAAAATGTTGGTTCTTAAAGAGAAAAGTTTTAAAAATAAGCAAAAAGTAAGATTTTTCAAAAATAAAGAAGAAAAATAGTTTAATTTCAGGAGCGAAAAACTATTAACACTACAATGATCAAAGACAAAATAATTACCTTCTTTAATTGTGCATTGAACGAAAGGATTTCCAACAAATCCTTCCAGACACAGGCATCTTGGTGTATGACTGATGACCCTGCACTCCGCATTGGCACCACAAAGTCCGGGACAAGGATCTTTGCATTTCTGGTTGATGCAGGCTTGGTGGCTGGGACACTCACTGTTGCTGATACATTCTGGTCTACAGTTAGGCGGAGCTCCGATGTAGTCTGGGAGACATGAGCAGGAGGGTGAATCTCCGTGAGGTTGGCACTGAGCATTCGGACCGCAAGGGGAAGGTACGCAAGGATTCACTGGAGTTTGTTGGACAGGTGGGGGTGGTGGGGCAGCTATAAAATACAAAAGAAAATTGGGTCAATTACTTGGCCTTGATTTTTAAACTAATAAAATTGATAAGATTGAAAATAAGTTTTGAATTGTTGGTAAAATGGCTGTACCTCTCTATACGCACTTTTTCAGTACTGATGGACTTTTAAAATTTGAATTAGAACATGAGATGAAGCATCATTATAATTTAAAACTTTTAGCATTTTATTGAAAAACATAAAATAATACAAGCACATAGACTCAGTAAATGATACAAGTTGGCTGTTTGTATACATATTGAAAGTCACTTTTCAAAAGCAAAGATTTTGTAAATACTTACGATAGCACCGAATGAATGGATCTCCGGAGTATTGTGGAGGACAACTACAAATGGGATTGTGGTTAACAACTTCACATTTGGCGCCAACTCCACAGGCCCCTGGACATGGGTTTCGACATTTTTGATTGCTGCAAGCTTCATTGCGACCACAGTCTGAATTGACAATACATTCTGGGCGACAGGACGGTGGGCTGCCGATAAAACCAATCACACATGAGCAGACTGCTTGGTCGTTGACTTCACGACATATGCTGTGAGGGCCGCAGGGAGATGGGTTGCAAGGCTGCACTGAAATCGGAGCTGCAAATAACAAAGAAAAAAACCATTATGAGCTTGATTCTCTTATGACTGGTTAATCTGAACAGAAAACTCAATAAATGTTCAAAAATACCCAAGAACAAATCAACAAAGAAGGTGCCATTTGACATTGATAAAGAAAATCATGAGATGCTAGAATCAATGTAGCCATCTTCAACTCTTGCTTAAATTTAAAAATTGGTTGAAGCCTTTCCCAAGTAGTCTATGTACAAAACATAGGAGCAGCGACAAACAGTGACATTTCAGAGTAATTTCCTCTTTAAAATACCTAACTAACAATGAAGACGCAGCCAGTAACATTGTACAGAGAAGAAACTTCGTACCGGCTATGTATTCCGTAAAATACCCAATTCAAAAGGAAGTTGACAATAGAATCAGGTCAATCTTTTTCAAAAAAACTAAAAATTTACACTATTTTCTAAATGCTTAAACAAACATTTGTAGACATTATAAATCCACGAACTTCATTTACCTTGCTGTGGCCGACATTGAACGAATGGATTCCCTGACATTCCAGGGGGACAACTGCAGATGGGAATATGATTGAAGACATTACACAGTGCGTCTTGACCACAAGTTCCAGGACAAGGGTCCTTACATTTGTTCCGAATGCAAGCTTTGTCCCTAGGGCAGTCATTGTTAAGGATGCATTCTGGTCGACAGCCGTGATACGGGTCGCCCTGATATTCGGGGAGACATGTGCAAATACCATTGTTACATTGAGCATTTGGTCCACATGGTGAAGGGTTGCAAGGATCAGTAGGAATTGGTGCATCCACAGCTGCAAAAGTCACGAAGAAAAACAAAATGTACTAAAGGTTTAAAAAACATTTTTCATCATAATTAGTACAGTTAAACCCGACTGGCTGGAGAGTCAAAAAAAGCAAATAAAATAATATTAAGAAATTACACAACTATGCTTATATTTGTTTGATAAAGATGGTTTTGGTAAGAAACTTTTTTAACACTTAAAGTTTTACTTTTCTGCGGTCATCTTAATGACTTCATGCAAAATCAAATTAAATTGAAATGACACGGTGAGGTCATTTTAAAGTTAAACTTTTGCTTGGGGGCAAATGATTGAAAACATTGGACCAACATTTTTTTCCAAGATGAATAGTGATAAACTTACGAGGTGGTGGTTTTGGATAACAACTTGTGAATGGATCTCCTGTGTATCCCTCAGGGCAAGTGCAAGATGGAACATGGTTGATGACATTACATAGAGCACCTGCACCACAAGAGCCTGGACAGGGGTCGCGACATTTTTCTCGGATGCATGCTTTCGTGCTGATACAATCAGAGCTGACAACGCACTCTGGTCTGCATGATGGTGGTGTGCCTATATATTCGGGTAGACATGAACATGACGGCACTCCATTGATGTCTCGGCACTGCGAATACGGTCCGCAAGGAGAGGGTACACATGGATTGACAACAATTGTATCAGCAGGTGGAGTGGGTTGAGCTGTAAATAAACAGAGAAAAAAATTACATTATGTAAGGAAAATGGCTTAGTTAAATAGATTCAATCACGAATATAAAATTTTTTTTGCTAATATATGCAGAGAATGAAAAATACTGTAAATAGAATTCAAGTCTTCCCGTTAGGTCATCAATAGGATTTTAGGCCTGCTTTTTGTCTTGACAGGTTCAAAATTGTATAAAACAAACAAAAAAGATGCCAAAAAATAGGAAAATTCTGCAATTTTTTTCTTAAAGGAGCAAGGCACATGAATGCTTGATATTTGGTAACAGGCAAATATTACCTCCATCGCTTTAACCCATGATAAAAAAGAGGTGACAAGTTGTAGTGACATAAGACAACATTTAAATAACTGCACTGAACATCATAGGCAGCTTCAAACACAGTGCTACAGTAAACTTGAAATAAAACTTACGAGGAATAGGAGAACATCTGATGAATGGATCTCCAGTATAGGAAGGTTTGCAGCTGCATATAGGACTGTGATTAATGACGTGGCATTCGGCATACAACCCGCATGTGCCCTCGCAAGGATTTTTGCACTTTTGGTTCATGCAAGCTTCGCTGTGAGAGCATTCTGAGCTGACGGTACACTCTGGACGGCAACCTGGTGGAGAGCCAATGAATTCGGGCAAACAAGAGCAGACAGCTTGACCATTGATTTCACGACACTGACTGTTTGGTCCACAAGGTGAGGGGTAACATGGGTTGATAGGCTCATTTTCTGAAAAAAAGAAAGGAAGTGAGGATTTAGTCAAATTAATTCGGTTGAAAGAGAGGACTAAATGCTGACTAGAACGAACTCTACAATTTTAGGGAAATAATTGACAGTTCAATTTGGCTACTATGACTATAAATGCCATCAAGACATAGAGATTCAACACCAAGACTGTTTAAAAAAGAGTTTTGTAAAATTTTAGTTTTTGGAACTCTTTGAAAAAAAAAAAAACAAACAAAATCTGAATTTATAAACAGAAATTTTCCGATGTCGAAACGGGATATACTATTGAAATTTTTCAATTCCATTTTATGAGTTTGAAAAAATCTGCTGGACCTTTCTAAAAAGTTAAAACAGCTTTGCCAAACTCTAAATCTACTTAAACTCATTGTGAGGACTATTACGAAGTATCGATAGATTCTCATATAGAGGCAGGTGAAAGTCTCAAAAAATCCTATGTACCTATGGGTGGTGAAGGTGGTGGCAGTATGTTACAATATCTGAACGGATCGCCAGTGTAACCAGGTCTGCAGGTGCACAGAGGCAAATGGTTGACCACTTGACAGTCGGCATTGGGTCCGCATGTACCAGGACAAGGATCTCGACATTTGTTGATGATACAGGCTTTGTTTGGTGCACAGTCTGTGTTCAAGATACATTCTGGGTTACAGCCCTCGTAAGGATTTCCGATATAATCTGCGATACATGTGCAAGACCCAGCTCCGTTCTGTTCCCGACAGATTGCATTGGCACCACAAGGAGACGGGTGACAAGGTGAAAGATGTTCTTGGACTGGCTCAGCTACACAAAAATAATTAAAATTATATTAAGATGGTGTTCGATAACAAGACAATATTAAAATTTTGACTATTTCTAGAAAAAAAAAGAACATTAGGAAACAAATGGTTGATCAAACAAAATTGATTTAGCATTTCAGTCATTTGCGGACTTCAGCTGTGGTTGAACTTAGCATACATATGGTCAAAAAGCAGACTCTGCCTGATTGTAATTCTTTGGAACAACTAAAGCTTCCACTGTAGGTGTGAATTAGAACCGATTGAATGTAACTATTTGTTTTCAATTCATGTTTTACTCATTATTTTTTTCAACAAATCCTTACGATAAGTCTTCCAGTACCTTTCATTTTAAAACAACTTCAGACTCTTCAATGATGAGTTTTTTTTAAGGCCTGCGTCTCCAATACAGTTTTAGTGAAAGCAACAGTGACATTTGTTATATTACTGATCATGACGGATGCAAAGGAAATCACTAGACACTATATTGCTTACATTGTTTGATGATACAACTACTGAAGGGGTCTCCGACGTAACCAGGCAGGCATGTACACCTTGGCGCATGGCTGACAACATGACACTCTGCATTTGAGCCACAGAGCCCTGGGCATGGATCTTTGCATTTCTGGTTGATACAAGCTTGGTGGCTTGGACATTCACTGTTACTGATGCATTCGGGTCGGCAGTTTGGCGGAATTCCTACAAAATCTGGAAGGCATGAACAAGATGGGGACTCTCCATGAGCTTGACACTGTGCATTTGGACCACATGGTGAAGGAACACATGGGTTTTGAGGGGCTTGCTGTACTGGAGTTGGCGCTGAAAAAATAGAGCAAATAAATTGAACATTTTTGATACCGCAAGAATCTTTAGCTTTAAAGCCATGTGCATTAGAGGAGTAAAAAATGTTTAAAATTGAACAGCCCTTTCACGATGACATGAAAAAAAAAATCCGAGTTAGATGTTCAAAAGAAGAGGCTTAAAAATTTTCAATCCTCTGAATAGCAGCTTTGTAAAACTGGTATTTATTAAAACTACAAGAAACTGCATTTGGTGCCTGGAAATTTTCACCGAGGTCATAGGCAAACTTTTCAAAAAAATAATATGAGGAAAAAAAACATGAAATGTTTTTGCATTAAAAAGAGAGCTTTCTATGATGTATCTTAGATGCATAATATCAAAGATAATTTGACAGGGAAAAAGAACTTACGTATTGATAGACATCTAATGAATGGATCTCCACTATACTGAGGAGGACAACTGCATATTGGGTTGTGGTTAACAACTTCACAACGCGCTCCGATTCCACAAGTGCCCAGACATGGGTTTCGACACTTTTGATTGCTGCATGCTTCAAGGCGACCGCAGTCTGAATTTACAATACATTCTGGCCGACAGGCAGGAGGACTGCCGATGTAACCAGGGACACAAGAACATACAGCCTGACTGTTCACTTCTCGACAAATACTGTGAGGACCACAAGGTGATGGGTTGCAAGGTTGAGTGATTACAGGAGCTGTAAACGATTAGAAGATACCTTTGAGGTTACAATACTCTGGGAAAACGTAGTGCGAGATAATAAAATGAAAGTTTAATTAAGGATATGGTAAGCTCAGTGTAATACTTTCCCCAAGTATATACTTGCAACTTTTGAAAGATAGGTCTTTCTGAAGAAAAGGTGGTTGTTTTTACACTTTCGATCACAATTTGAAAAGATTAGCTTAAGCAAAGATGCGCCTTCCCCTAGAAAGTACTTTTCAATAGAAAAGTCAATTTTAAAAGATGCAGACTTGGCAAATTTTCAGGTTACATGATTCAATTAGTAGAAGAGGATGCCTGAAATTTTTATATATGCTCATGTTACGGATGAGTTACTTTTGAATTCTCCCAATCTTCCTCTCTTGATGTTAACCTTTTTGGCAGGTATCCTCACTTAAAACATAGCTTAGAAAGAACAATGTAGGAAGAGTATTATTTCACGGTTGTAAATTTACCTTGCTGAGGTCTGCAGGAGACGAAAGGATTTCCTGACATTCCTGCAGGACAACTGCACACTGGAATGTGATTAATAACATCACAGACAGCGCCCTGACCACAGGTGCCTGGGCAAGGATCTTTACATTTGTTGCGGATACAAGCTTTGTCTCTGGGGCAGTCATTATTGAGAACACACTCGGGACGGCAACCTGTGTACGGATCGCCTTGGTACTCTGGGAGGCAGGAGCATAAACCATCCCTGCATTGAGCGTTTGGCCCACATGGTGATGGACTGCAAGGGTCAGATGCCTGTGGTGGTTCAGTGGCTGAAAATGATAGAAAAAATAAATACGTAAATACTTAGAGAAAAACATAAAATCCCAATACATTCGGAATTTTTTTAAATTATTTAGAAAATAAATATCAATGAAAAAAAAAGAGAAGAAAATAACCAGAAAAGTAACATAGGAATTCTGTTGAGCTTGAATATGTACTGAGATAAATCAAATTTGAATCATCTTTGAAAAATAAAATATTCACTGACTGATTAGCCGTAGTAAGTAATGATATGTGTTAAAACAATAAAGAGATACAGCTCATTTTCATATCAGTGAAGTTTCACAGAGAGATGAATAGACAAAAGTGATGCAGAAATAAATTATGCCTTTAGATAAATCAATAAAATTAAGTTACTTCTTTTTTATTTTAAGCAATGCGAACAGAATACCTCACACTATGAAAACTTGCTCCATCATGACTTTTAAGAAGAAATACCAATAATTATACACTTACGAGGAGGAGGTTTGGGATAACAGTTTGTAAATGGATCTCCAGTATATCCTTCAGGGCAAGTGCATGCTGGTGTATGGTATACAACATTGCAGAGTGCTGAAATACCGCAGGAGCCAGGGCAAGGGTCCTGACACTTTTCATTGATACAAGCTTTGTTGCTTGGACATTCGGAGTTGATTGAGCATTCAGGGCGACAATTTGGTGGAGTTCCAGTGTATTCTGGTCTACAAGAGCAGGATGGACTATCTCCAATGTTTTTGCACTGAGAGTACGGTCCACAAGGTGATGGAATGCAGGGATTCACTGGTGTGACATCCACCGGGGCTTGTTGAGGTGCTAGAGAAAAAAAGACAATTTGTATTAAAGAGATGGGCGATGTTGCTGGCGTTTAATGAAAACAAAAATATATAATACTTTATGCATGATAAAGTTACCCATACAAGCTTGCACTTTTTCCAAAAATAAATTTTTGTGAATACAGTCTTCATGGTACATATGGGAGTGACTTACTGTTCAAAAAGTTGAAATCACATAAATGGCTCCATGTGATGGATTACAGGATCAATAGAGGAATATCAAATAGTGAATATATTTTGCAGGGAGGACAAGACTGCCAACGTTCTGAAAAAGAAGAGGAGGCAAGAATTCAAATTGTACTTACGAGGTATTGGATAACAGCGTACAAAAGGATCTCCAGTGTATGATGGGCGACAACTGCAAATTGGGCTGTGGTTAATTACTTGACAGTTGGCATTTTGACCACAGGTGCCTGGGCAAGGGTCTGAGCATTTTTGATTGATACAGGCTTTGTTCAATGGACACTCTGAGCTGACAGTGCACTCCGGCCGGCAGGATGGAGGGCTGCCCACATAAGTTGGTCTGCATGAACAGACTGCTTGACCGTTGATTTCACGACACTGACTGTTTGGACCACAAGGAGATGGAATGCATGGATTTGTTGGCAGAGGCTCAGCTTCTAGAGAGAAAAATAATACAAAAATTGAAGTTATATGACAGTATGCAATTGTTCGAATTATTTTATTTATTTTTCTATTCTTTCGAATTATTCTATTTATTCTTATTCTTATTCTTTCTTCTATTCTTCCTTTACAGAAAAAAAGGAGGAAAAAAACCCTGATATTTTACACTCAGTCTCGGGTGTTGGAATGTTCAACTCACAATTAGAAAAATTATGAAAGCTAGGAACAAGAAAAGGCTTGTAAAAGATCATAATAAAATGGTTACACAAACAATAATGGATATGCATTTTCATTGACTTCAAAGAAACAGAGAACAGGTTATGGTTGAAAAGCACGTAGTACCAAAATTTAGGAAACGTTATAAGAAAAAGTTGCAATAAAGGAAGTTAAACTTGGGATGATAAATGAAATTATAGATCATTATTAATTATAACTTGTCTATATAGTATGTGGTATGAAAAATAGTAACGATGAAACAAAAATTATTACGTGGAGGAGGAGGAGGAATGATGTTGCAATATCTGAACGGATCTCCAGTATAGCCAGGTCGACAGACACAGTTTGGAAGGTGGTTGATAACTTGACAGTCAGCGTTTGGTCCACAGGTACCAGGGCATGGGTCTTGACATTTGTTACGAATACAGGCTTTGTTTGAAGGGCAATCAGTGTTGAGAACGCATTCAGGACGGCACCCTTCATAGGGGTTACCAATGTATTCAGGTAGGCAGGTGCATGAGCCAGCATTGTGATGTTCCTTACAAATAGCGTTTGCTCCACAAGGAGATGGTGTGCATGGAGTGATCACTTCATGGATAGGCTCAGCTGTAGATACAAAATATGAATTATAAAATTATCAAATACACCTAATATTCAAGATTTCATTATCCACTCAAATATGTGTAGACTGATTTGCTTTTATTGAAAATATTTTTGAAGGCAACAGAAAAAATTTCAGATGGAACATTTTAGGAAATTTGCGAGTAAAAAAGACTTCACAGACATTTACACAAAATTAGCGTAAAACCGATTAATTAGCATAAAATCAATGGGGTGGGTAAGATAGTAAGTAAAAAAGAAATGATTATTTGATAGCCTGAATAGAGTCGTCAAGAGGCATAGTCCTTAAAAGGTTTTTCTCATCTCCACAGAACTACTCCAGAACAAACATCTTCCTTGTTAAATTCTTTAGGGCGTTCAAGCATTTATTCATCAAACTTTTTTGGAGACATACCAAGTTGGATTTTAGGAAAAATAACTGAAAACACGGAATAAAGAAAGGAGAGACTTACATTGTTGAATTAAGCATTGAACAAATGGATCGCCGACATAACCAGGTGTACAAACACACCGAGGTGTATGACTGACGACATGGCATTGAGCATTGGCACCGCAAAGTCCTGGGCAAGGGTCACGACATTTTTGGTTGATACAAGCTTGGTGACTTGGACACTCACTGTTACTGACACATTCTGGTCGACAATTTGGAGGGACTCCGATAAAGTCTGGTAAACATGAACATGAGGGAGAGTCACCATGTGCTTGACACTGAGCGTTTGGTCCACAAGGAGACGGTACACAAGGATTTTGAGGAGCTGCTTGAACTGGCGGGGACTCCGCTGTGATGAAACATAAATTTAAGAGAACAATAGTCAGTCTTTATTTGGTGAAATCAGAAATTTTACTTATTTACAATGAGGTTACAAAAAAACATCACATTTTCATATTTTAGTGCTTTGATTATCAAGCTTACAGCGTTGTCTATAGAACTAGACTTAGAGGCTCTAAAAATAATTTAGAGTTATCAGTTAAATTGATTCACTTTTAGTGTTCCCCATAAAAGTTTTTAGTTAGCTAACTTTCAATTACTAAAGACGCAATTCCTTTCCCTGACATTCATACCCACGTAAACAAGACATTAGCATCCTTCAGGAAAGGGTATAATGATTAATGACACCAGCACACTCTGTGGGTATCCTGTGATCTATGATATTTTCTCTCATTCTTTTGAGATAAAATAAAAAAATTGTAGCAAGTACATAATGAGTTATCACTTTTTTAACTTCAATCACGAGAAGCAAAAAAATACTATGGTAGAAGGTGAAATTAAGATAAATGCAGATCATAAAACTTGTGAGAAGAGATCATGACTAAATTCAGGAGGGAGAAAATATTTATATTTAAATTTACAACACGCTACTATAGTTTCTCCTTTATAAAGACCTTTGCATTCAGATAGTTATTATCTCAGTTTAATAAAACTTACGTATTGGTTGACATCGAACAAATGGATCTCCTGAATATCTTGGCGGACAACTACAAATAGGATTATGATTGACGACTTCACATCGAGCCCCAATGCCACATGCACCAGGGCATGGATTACGACATTTCTGATTGCTACAAGCCTCATTTCGACCACAATCTGAGTTGACAATACACTCTGGTCTGCAGGCAGGAGGACTGCCAATTAATCCAGGAGCGCATGAGCAAACAGCTTGATTATTTATTTCTCTGCATACACTGTGCGGTCCACATGGTGAGGGATTGCATGGTTGCGTTACAATGGGAGCTGGAATATTCAAAGATAAAAAGGAATAATTTACTGAGTTCAAAAGCATTTTTACGAGGCAGGGAGAAAAGTTCCTTCGCCTTGTAGCTTAATCAAGTTGTCAATCAAGTGTTAAGTTAATCAATAAAATTGAAAGTTGCATGGAGAATCCTCAGCATGTTACTTTCTTTTAATATTCTAATTGAATTACTATTTCATAAGTATTACAAGTTTATAATGACTTGGAAATTGAATAAAGTCATTTTATTTCTGCACTAAACCTCATTATGAATGCGTACACATTAAACTTCATAATAAATACATTTGAATCTTCCACCAAGTTATTACACCAGGTGGAAAAACAAGTAGATAGCACACTTTTCAGTGATTAACATACCTTGTTGAGGTGTGCAAAGCACAAACGGGTTTCCGGACATACTCGTTGGACAACTACAGATGGGTATGTGGTTGACAACAGTACAGAGGGCATTCTGACCACAAGTTCCCGGACATGGATCTTTACATTTATTTCGAATACACGCTTGTGTGCGAGGACAATCCGTATTTAGAACACATTCGGGCCGGCAACCAACATAGGGATCTCCCTGATACTCAGGTATACAAGTGCAAACACCATTATGACAGACAGCATTTGGTCCACACTGACATGGATCTGGTTCAGGTGGGCTGTCAACCGCTACAAAAACGAAAGTAACACCGATTAGTGGAGGCTGGACAATATTTCGACTTGAAAAAAATTCTATTTAGGTATCATGAAAATCAACCCAGTGTAAATTGGAGCGTTGATTGATCAGGTTTCTAACACCTTCCAAGTGGACAAAAATTCTTAACAGATTTCAAACTAGATTAGAGGTGTTTTATTTAGTTCCTACCGCAATTTTCAGTATGAAACTAGGAATATGCACACTACTGTGCTTCGAGTGGGTAAAAACTTGTCAACTAAAAGTATTACACTGTTAGAATAGATTTCACAGACAACTGATTATTAGCTCTTTGTTAATTGATGAAAAACGGCAAATCGATCAGATTTTTGTTAACTGCTTCTTGTTTGGATCAATAATTTTGATTTACAAAAATTAACTTAAAATCGAAGAAGAAGCTGAGTGGCTATTGCTTACGTGGAGGTGGTTTTGGATAGCAACTTGTGAATGGATCTCCAGTGTACCCTTCTGGACAACTACAAGATGGGGTGTGATTGATGACATTACAATGGGCATTGGCACCGCAAGATCCTGGACAAGGATCTTTGCATTTTTCTCGAATACATGCAAGCGCACTCTGACATTCAGCATTGATGAGACATTCTGGTCGGCAATTAGGCGGGGAGCCGGTGTATTCTGGTCTACAGGAACAAGATGGTGCTCCGCCAATATCACGGCATTGAGAATATGGGCCACATGGTGATGGAACGCAAGGATTGACATAAATTGGATCCGCTGGGGGTGGTAGTGGGGCTGTAATTGAAATTATGAGGGATTAGGATTTCCTCGTGAAGAAGTAAGTATTAAAATTTACTTTTGATCAGCCGTTCAAAATGCAACAGAAGTGATGATTAATGATGGATAAAGACTTGGATATAGTTCCTCACAAAATAATTACTGATGAATTCTAATGACCGTACTTGAATGATTTTCACTTCAATTACCTAATTTTTTCTTCGAGACATGTCAGCTATCTTAGCAGTGCTTAAACAATAGAACAATCTACATACATACATGAGTCGCTTCTATAGCGCTCTTTGGCGCTGTGCAACGCCTAATTGCCACAAAACTCGGTCTTCCCACAGGTCATCAGGGAGTTGACACTCCCTCATTTCATTTAATACCCGCTGTCGCCACCCTCTCACTGTAGAACAATCTAACAGGGGAAAAAATAGTCCAGTAAAAAATAGCATCTATGAATATTAAGAGCTATCATTTTTCGACTAAAAAAAGCTTGCGAACATAGGAGTAATTAAATAGTGAGTCGCCTTACGTGGAATGCGTGAACAAAGACTGAATGGATCTCCAGAATAGCCAGGCTTGCAGCTACAGATTGGACTGTGATTGATCACATTGCAGATTGCATTTTGTCCGCAAGTACCAGGACAAGGGTCTGCGCACTTTTGATTGATGCAAGCTTTGTTGTGGGGACATTCAGAGCTAACGACACACTCTGGTCTACAGCCAGGAGGACTTCCGACGTAGGTGGGTTTACAAGAACAGACAGCTTGTCCATTGACCTCACGACACTGACTATTAGGACCACATGGAGATGGATTGCATGGATTAACCGGAGCTGCTTCGATCACTAAAAATAAGTCCAATAAAAGAAATTTAGTTGATGCTGAAGTTAAGTTTCGAAGTTATCAGCTACTACTCCTATTTTCTATCTGAACTGAAAACTTGAAGAAAAATGGAAAAATTCTCTAATGTCATAAAAGAAAGGATGACATCGCAGTTGAGTCTGTAAATGAAGCATCTGGTAGAGATCAAGATTTGGAGTAAGAGAATATTCATAAAATAGAATAAAATTACAAAATGGAATACCTTTCATAGGACAAACGAACTACTCTTAAAAAATATTGTAATGCATCATGAAGTTTTTATTTCATTTTTAAACTGCCAGGAATAGAGTAAAATGATACAATTGTCTTTTTATCACACAGAGCATGATAAATTGAAGCTTAGACAATCAAAGGTCACATTTAAAAAAACCTTGAGATATACCAGGAAAGATATAATAAATATTTCAGCTGCTAAACTGTATTAGTGAAATTAAAGATAACAGATAGGGATTTTTCAGTAAATTCATTCTTAGAATCTATGACTTTAATTCTCATGTGACGGTTAGTTTGATTATTTTTGCCTGAGAACTTTGTTCTTACCTACTTGGAGGGAAGTCAAAGTTTCATAATTGACCTCCGGTGAAACTACACTCAATTTTGAATTCATTTTGAATGTTTCCAACACTGACAATATTATGATTTCAAATTAGTTGAAACATTCATCAGTAAAAAAGAAAGGATACAATTTTCAATCAATTTGTACCTATGTATTTTTGCTAATTATATGGATTACCATAAAACAGCAAATGTTGCCTTAGAGAAATAGAGTGTACCTAAGATTCTAAAATAAAAATTGGGATGTGCAGAAAAATGAAGAATTTAAAAGGCGGAGAGAGTAAAATAGTATTACATGGCGGTTGAGGCGGAATAGCACTGCAGTATCTGAAGGGATCCCCAGTATATCCTGGCCAGCAGTTACAAACTGGAAGGTGATTGACAACCTGACAGTCCGCGTTCGAACCGCAGGTTCCAGGGCAAGGATCCTGACATTTGCTGCGAATGCAAGCCTTGTTTGGAGCACAGTCAGTGTTCAATGTACATTCTGGTCGACAACCTTCGTACGGATTTCCAACATAATCAGCCTGACATGTGCAAGAGCCAGCACCATTTTGCTCTCGACATACAGCATTGACACCACACGGTGATGGGGAGCAGGGGTTAATCACCTCTTGGGGCACAGGGTCCGCTAAAATGAGGATAATGACCGACTTTAGAGAATTTAGACAAATCAACTCAATTCAGATCCAGAACAAAAGTCATGATTTGAAACTGATCTTAGCTGAGTAGGAATTTTCAGGTTAAAGACCTTCTTTTTAGATTGAAATACTCGAATATGAGATTTTTTACGACCAGGTAATTGATCAAAATTATGACCAAATGGAAGTAGAATCTAGAAAACAGAAAAGATGGTAATTTTAAAATTTTCTAGATGGCTGCGAATTATAATGATGTGTGCTCTCTTCAGAACACTTTAAAAACTTGAAAAAATTTTCTCCAAGGAAAAGCGAGTAGAAAAACAACCAAGATCTATTGGTGATATTATGACCTTAAATCGAATATTAGAAACGAAATGGGTCTCAATTTTAGGAATTTTTGAGAGCGATTATTAGGCACACTTGACTTGTCCAATTTCAATTATTAATTGAAGATAAAAATTCAGTCAATGTGCTGTCTCCTAATTTTTTACTCAACAGTTTGTCTTCACAAGAAAACTGTAGAAATGGAGCTTTTAATGGCGCAATAATTTTCGAGTACTCCATTAAGAGCTCCGATGATCCTTCAATCAAATAGAAGAGCAACACAACTTACATTGCTGGATTGTGCATTGGACAAAGGGATCTCCTATGTAGCCAGGGACACAAATACACCTTGGAGTATGACTGACAACACGGCACTCAGCGTTGGCTCCGCAGAGACCAGGACAAGGGTCACGACATTTTTGGTTGATGCAAGCTTGATGACTTGGACATTCACTGTTACTAACACACTCTGGTCGACAATTGGGTGGCGCGCCAATGAAATCAGGGAGGCAAGAGCAAGATGGAGAATCAGCATGGACTTGACACTGAGCATTTGGCCCACAGGGTGATGGTACGCACGGATGTGAGGGAGCGGCTTGAACTGGAGGTGTTTCCGCTGAAGGAATAAAAAATTGCATCTCAGTTTCCACCCACAAAAATTTTAGGAATACTTTTGAACAATTTAAAGCACAACTTATTGCTCTATCAATCGATCAGGAAAATGAAAAAATGCTCTTATCTCTCTGTTTAGTAATTCTATTAAAAGAGTAAGCCTCCTCATAAAAAAGGGAACAGTGTGAACACTTTTCAAGATCTGAGCAGAAAATGAGAGAGTCTCTGCTGGGGAATAGATCATAGACGATGGATAAAAATCATGAATGGCGTAAGCTATGACTGTCCACTTACGTATGGGTTGACATCTCACGAAAGGATCGCCTGTGTATCTTGGAGGACAAGAGCAAATGGGATTGTGGTTGACAACTTCACAACGAGCGGAAATTCCACAGGTGCCAAGACATGGATTTCGACACTTCTGATTGGAACATGCCTCATTTCGGTTGCAATCAGAATTTACTATACATTCTGGTCTGCAGGCAGGAGGACTACCAATGAAGCCAGGAACACATGAGCAGACAGCATGGCCATTAGTGTCTCTACAGATACTATGAGGTCCACAAGGAGATGGGTTGCAAGGCTGTGTCTCAATGGGAGCTGAAAACGTAAAAGAGGGATTCAGACATCTTTTTCAACTTACAATCCAAAATGAGAAGAATTGGAAGTTTGAATTTTGGCCAAAAACTATGGGTCGAAATGAACAGAAAGGTAAGAATAACCAATTGCGAAATTCTACTAACCCTGCTGTATTGAGCACTGAACGAATGGATTTCCAGACATGCCTGGTGGACAACTGCAGATGGGTATATGGTTGATGACGCTGCAGAGCGCATTTTGACCACAAGTTCCAGGGCAGGGATCTTTGCATTTGTTCCTAATACACGCAAGAGTATGAGGGCACTCAGAGTTTAGAATGCATTCCGGCCGACAACCAACGTATGGATCCCCTTGATATTCTGGCAAGCAGGTACAAATACCATCCCTGCAGTCTGCATTCGGACCACAAGGGGACGGGTTGCAAGCATCAACCTCAAGAGGTTTATCATCCACTGCAAAGAGACCCGGAATATTAGGGTAGGTAAATGCAGACACGGATATTAAGATTTGATCTCAATCTTCAACAAGTAATGTAAAAAAAAAATTGAAGGTTTTGAAATTTTTACTGAATTTACATCAAATAGATTGAATGGGCAATTGATTTAAATACTGCAGGACTTTAAAGAACATTCCTGAGAATAAATTTAACATTGAAGGTTGGTCCCAATGTGACTTTTAAAAGTTTTTCACATGTAGCCCACAAACAAAAACTAAGTAAGCAGCTTAACTTGGGTATTTCACCAAAAACTGGATATATATTTTCTACAGACATGTGTGGCAACTAAAATATTAAGGACCAACAGCAATCTTTCCACTTCAAAAAGTAGAGGGTAAATTATTATTGTTTTTCTTGAATCGAGAGGGATCAAAATTGTTCTTACATGGAGGAGGTTTTGGATAGCAGTTGGTGAAAGGATCTCCTGTGTAACCTTCAGGACAAGTACAAGATGGGGTGTGATTGATGACATTGCAGAGAGCACCAGCGCCACAAGACCCAGGACAAGGATCGCGACACTTCTCTCGGATGCAAGCAAGAGCACTTTGGCATTCAGCGTTGATGATACACTCTGGTCTGCAATTTGGCGGAGTGCCAGTGTATTCAGGTCGACAAGAACAAGAGGGTGCCCCACCAATGTCACGACATTGTGAATACGGACCACATGGTGATGGTATGCACGGATTGACAAAAATCGGATCAGCAGGAAGAGGGGGTGGAGCTGTAATTAAAAAAAAAGGGATGGTAAAAATAGGAGCCTCTTCGACAATGTCAGGGAATAGAATGATTTCAATGAAAAAAGAAATAGTTAGCCGACAGTCAACTATAATAATACGAATGGAAAATTGGAACGACTGCTTACGTGGGATTGGAGAGCAAAATGTGAAGGGATCTCCAGAGTATCCTGATTGACAACTACAAATGGGGCTGTGATTGATGACGTTACAGATTGCATGTTGTCCGCAAGTGCCTGGACAAGGATCTGAGCATTTCTGATTGATGCAAGCCTTCTTATGAGAACACTCAGAGCTGACAACGCACTCTGGTCTACACCCTGGAGGACTTCCGACATAGGATGGTTTACAAGAGCACACGGCTTGACCGTTAACTTCACGACACTGACTGTTTGGACCACACGGAGATGGATAACAAGGATCAACTGGGGCCGCCTCAACCGCTAGATAAGAAAAAGTGAAATGATGAATCAGTTTAATGATTCGTTTCAGACGTAGGTAATTTTTAATAAATTGTAATGAGTAGGTAAGTCATCGATGTTGAACACTTGGAATCAGTGCTAGCACTGTCAGGAGTTCAATTATTTTTGAAAATTATTTGACTTTAAAAGAAAATGAAAGTAGCCTCATTTCATTTTTTGAGATCATGCTCAGTGGATCACTGGCATAGATTTTCATAAAATGCCTACAGAAATTTAAAATTATTTAGCTAAAATAACCGACTTTGAATTTGGATGAAAAACTTGACTCATATAAGATACTTTATCAATGAACATCAAAATTTTCTAGAACAGATACTTTAAAATGAGGTGGTATGAGTTTTAAATAAAAACTTATGAGAGGATAAACCATTCATAGGGAAAAATAATAAAAAAAATTTCGTTTAATTATGTATCATAGTTTCAAATTTTTAAATAATTCGAAATGATACTTAAAGCTCCAAAGAAAGCTGATGAGTGCAAAAGATTGAGAATACTGCCGTGAAACAAAAATTGAGAACAAAGCAATGCAATATATATTACGTGGAGGGATTGTTGGTGCTATGTTGCAGTGACGGAATGGATCACCAGTGTAGCCCACTCGACAAGTGCACATAGGAATATGATTCACAACTTGACAGTCGGCGTTTGGTCCACAAGTGCCTGGGCAAGGATCCTGACACTTGCTACGAATGCAAGCTTTGTTCGGAGCACAATCAGTATTCAAGGTACATTCTGGCCGACAACCTTCGTATGGGTTACCGATGTATTCAGGTAAACAGGTGCAAGATCCAGCACCATTCTGTTCGCGACAAATGGCATTGCTACCGCATGGCGATGGCGAGCATGGAGAAATAACTTCATGGGGTGTTGGCTCCGCTGTAATGCAGAAAAACGACACCACCATGATCAATTTCAGTATTCTTAATGATGAAATTCGCTAAACATGAGCTGGGGCAAAAATCAGCTAATTTACTGAGAAACGATAGCTAATTAGCTTAACTTCTATCTAGAGTGACGTGTTGATAGAAAGTAGAAAATAGTCAGAGAAAGGACAAAATAAAATAGTTGCCTTGCGGCCAACCATAGCAGATACAAAAATTGCACGATTATGAGTGAGTGTTTATGTTTTCACGGTGTTTATTCTTGATTCTCAACTGAATTTTCTGGCTCCAACTTAAAAAGATAAAACCCTGTTAGGCTGAATTAGAATCAGAAAAATATTCGACTGGATATGTTTCATGAAAAATTGGCACACTAAGTGGCATTTAAATATACTTCAGCCAGTCTTACATCTCAATAAAATTCATGGGAACTTACACTGTTGAATCGAACACTGGGTGAATGGATCACCAACATAACCAATGGGACAGACACATCGAGGGGTATGACTGACAACGCGACAATCAGCATTTGCACCACAAAGACCAGGGCAGGGATCTCGACACTTTTGGTTGATGCAAGCTTGATGGCTTGGACATTCGCTATTACTGACACATTCAGGCCTACAACTTGGTGGTATGCCAAGGAAGCCAGGAAGGCAAGAGCACGATGGTGAGTCACCATGCGGTTGGCATTGAGCATTGGGTCCACAAGGCGATGGTACACAAGGGTTTTGTGGAGTATGTTGAGGGGGTGGAGTCTCCGCTAAAAGAAAGCGAACGAAAGGTATATTTTAGCGATATCTTGCCTAAGAAATCCTTTGAACGAAAAGTTCTTGATTTATTGTAGGAAGCTATTAAAGATACTTGCCATAGATTCATTGACGCATTAAAAAAGACAACTAGTCGATTAAGCGTCTTTAAAAAAGGCATTTTTTTTCTCAATCAAGTTGGTGGCACAAAAATTCCGCCAATAAAAAAAACCAACCTTACTACAAAATTTTATAATCAAGTAAAAGCAAGTTCTACAAATCAAATGCAGCATCTTATATACAAGTGAAAATTTTGCCATCAGAAAGAGTCTCATTTGAGATATTTTTTTGAAATTTCATGTAAGCAAAAGACTTACGTATAGGGAGGCATCGAATAAACGGATCCCCGGTAAATCTTGGTGGACAGCTACAAATGGGATTATGGTTAACAACTTCACATCTAGCACCAACTCCACAGGTACCGGGACAAGGATTACGACATTTCTGGTTGGAGCAAGCTTCATTTCGACCACAGTCAGAGTTAACAGTGCACTCAGGTCTACAAGCAGGGGGACTGCCAATGTAACCAGCGACGCATGAGCATACTGCTTGATTATTTATTTCTCTGCATACACTGTGCGGCCCACATGGTGAGGGATTGCAGGGTTGTGTCACGATTGGAGCTGAGGAAATGGACAGAAAAACCAATTAGCTACTTGCCATGGTTCAGGGAAGGGTTTCTTAGCTGACAACTAATACTGACTATCAGTGAAAAAATAAAAAAAAATAATAACGGGAACAAGGGGCAAAAGATCTTCAGAGATCTGTTAAACATGGTGTCCATTCAAAGGAATTGAAAAATAAGTGAACTGATAAAGAAAAAATAAATTAAAAAAAACTTGAAAAAGAAATTATGGACCTCAAAAATATTCCTCAGCATAAGTCTGAAAATTTAGAGACTTATACAGATTTTGTCTGGAAATTTATGATAGTTCATTGAACTACTTTACATTAAGTTTTAAGGAGCCAGTTTTTTTGCTCTTAAGTTGGTTTATGGATTTCAGGGAAAAATAGCAAAATATCAAAATAAGAGTAACACACCCTGCTGTGGTCTACATTCAACAAATGGATTCCCTGCCATGCCCGTTGGACAACTGCAAATCGGAATGTGGTTCAGTACAGTGCATATGGCATCCTGGCCACAAGTTCCGGGACAAGGATCTTTGCACTTGTTTCGAATACAAGCTCGGTTACGAGGGCAGTCCGAGTTCAAAATACATTCTGGTCTACAACTGGAGTAAGGATCTCCTTGGTACTCGGGAAGACAAGAACATACTCCATCTCTACAGACAGCATTAGCTCCACATGGCGAAGGGTTACACGGATCAATTTCTGGAGGACTATCAACAGCTGCAATCGTAAAAAAAATTCTTTGAGGTGACAGAAGTAATGTCATTTACTTCACATAGAGGAAAACGAGGGTGTAATTCATATGAAATCATTCAACTTTGTTTAGAACTGCCTGATGAGCCCAGCTCAAAAAGTTGTGAATGTTTCTCCGAAAATAGATGGCGAAGAAGAATAGCTGTCAGAAAGAAGAGACTAAACTGCATAGGGTGAATTTCTTTTTGATAGGTGGATGTTAACTATCATGACAGTTTTCATGACATTTGTCAATTTGAACGACTAAGGATAATTAGACATTTTTTTAGCCGGGAAAAGGTCAACTTCCGACTTTTAGGACTTCTAGATTCTCATCATTTGCGACAATATATGTAACTAAAAAGCACTGAGAATCGAAATATACCTTAAATTTGATACTTTTATGATTTTTGTCAATGTAAATTACAAGCTCCAGAATATATAAGATTTTCAACTTTTCTAAAAAAGTATAAGCCGTTAAGTTACGAGAACCTTTGTTATTCATGTGATTGAGATAGAGAACGTTTCTTACGTGGAGGAGGTTTAGGGTAGCAATTTATAAAAGCATCGCCAGTGTAACCATCTGGGCAAGTGCAAGTGGGCGTGTGGTTGATAACATTACAAACAGCCCCCGAGCCGCAGGAGCCTGGACAAGGGTCCCGACATTTCTCACGGATACAGGCTAAGGCACTTTGACACTCAGCATTAATGATACACTCTGGTCTGCAGTTAGGCGGAGTGCCAGTGAACTCTGGTAGACAAGAACATGAGGGAGCTCCACCAATATCACGACATTGTGAATTAGGTCCACATGGTGAAGGTATGCATGGATTTAAGTACACCGGGTCAGCTGCTGGAGGCAAAGGTACTGCAAAAATTCAGGCAAGAATATTAGCCTATTGAAAAATGACTGCAGAGTACACCTAACTTTCCAAAATGATAGTTCAGAGGAACCGATCAAAACCCTTGATAAAAACTGATTAAGTGAGGCAAGAGCTTTACAACAGTGCACGACCTACAACAAGGCAGCCATCGATAGGATGCTAAAACTCAGAATCTTTTGGATTGTGTGAGGTCAGTGGGAATTTTTCTTCTCCGTTAAACCGATTTTTGTGATGGACAATTTTTAGGTCTCTTCTAATAATTATGCAAAATTTCAATTGACATGTTATAGCTATTTATTCTACAAATCAGTAGCATCAGAGACTTTTTTGGTAAAATTCTTTTGTGAAATATATATTGATAACTCATCAAGGAATTCATCCAATATTCCATGGCAGGACATGTGATTGAATTGAATGTTTGTCGCCAAAAGTGGACTTAAGTAATTTTTTAACGATGAAGCACACAAAAGCACAATTTCTTATTAATCTCTATTTTTGAAACTCACACAGCCTCTACCTAAGCAAATATTTCAAAGATGTGAGACTTAAATCTGCGACAATGATAATCCAGTTTGAAAATAAAACATAAATGCTGCTATGAAAATTTCAGTAATTCAGTGACTGCTTACATGGGATACGGGTGCAAACTATGAAGGGATCTCCTGTGTAGCCTTGGCGACAAGTACAAATTGGACTGTGGTTGATAACTTGACAGACAGCATATTGTCCACAAGTTCCTGGGCATGGATCGGAACACTTTTGATTGATACAAGCCTTGTTGTGAGGACACTCTGAACTCACAACACATTCAGGACGACAACCAGGGGGACTACCAACGTAGGTTGGTTTGCAGGAACAAACAGCTTGACCATTAATTTCACGACACATGCTGTTTGGACCACACGGAGATGGATTGCAAGGGTCAAGTGGGGCTGCTTCCACAACTGAAATAATGAGAATAAAAAAATCCATCATTGAGGGGAAATATAAGATGGTACCAAATTATAGTTTCTGACGGGAGACTTTGAATTATTATACCTTTTCAAAGACATTACTTGGTACCTTTTTTCTAGTTTTGGAGCATAAAATAGTAGAAGAACGGTCCAAAGACCAACCTAACCAGTAATCCAGCTAAATAGATTCTATTAATTTAATGGCATTATTTAGGAGAATTTTAATTTGGGCAGAAGACCAAATGAAAAAAAAAAGAAAAACGACAAAAGATAGTTTTAGATAGTCTATCTATGAAGAAATCTAACTAGAAATGAGACGAATTAAAAAATTGGAAGAATGATAATTACTTGGTGGAGAAACAGGAGCAAGGTTGCAGTACTTGAATGGATCCCCGCTGTACCCTGGTAAGCAGGTACAAGACGGAATATGATTGACCACCTGACAGATTGCATTTGGTCCACAAGTTCCTGGACAAGGATCTTGGCATTTACTGTGAATGCAAGCTTTGTTCGGAGCACAATCGGTGTTCAAAGTGCATTCTGGGCGACAACCCTCATACGGATTTCCAATGTAATCAGCCAAACATGTACAAGAACCAGCACCGTTTTGTTCTCGACAGATCGCGTTAATTCCACATGGTGATGGTGAACAAGGTGTTATCACTTCTTGGGGCAATGGCTCCGCTGGAGGGGAAAACACAAATCCCAATTAATACCGATCACTTTTGTCACAGCCTAACATGGACAATGATCTTTACTTCTAACTACTTTTTCAAGAAATAGGAGAAACCAAACTTACATTGTTGGATTGAGCACTGGACAAAGGGATCTCCAACGTAGCCTGTCGGACAAATGCATCTTGGAGAGTGACTCACGACTCGACATTCTGCATTTGCACCACACAGACCTGGGCAGGGGTCTCGACACTTCTGATTGATACAAGCTTGGTGACTGGGGCATTCACTATTACTAATGCATTCAGGTCGACAGTTGGGAGGGATTCCGATGAAGTCAGGCAAACAAGAACAGGAAGGTGACTCCCCGTGGGGTTGACACTGTGCATTCGGACCGCAAGGTGAAGGAACGCATGGGTTTTGAGGAGCTGCTTGAACTGGAGGAGGCTCCCCTATAAAAGAGAAAAATTGGGTCATAAAAGAACCAACCAAAGATTCCAAAGGTCAAGAGAAGTGAATCTAACAAAACTGAGACAGATATCTGCATAATGTCTGTATTGATAATTGATCAACTTTTTTGCTAACTTTTAGGAGACGTAAATCAATCATCAACTTACTTATGGGTAAACATCTAACGAATGGGTCTCCAGTGTATCTGGGAGGGCAACTGCAGATAGGGTTGTGATTCACTATTTCACACCGGGCCCCTACACCGCAGGTGCCAGGACAAGGGTTGCGACATTTTTGATTGTTACATGCTTCATTTCGACCACAGTCTGAGTTGACAATACATTCAGGACGACAAGCAGGAGGACTGCCAATGAAACCAGGAGCACAAGAACAAACGCCTTGATTGTTCACCTCTCGACAAATACTGTGTGGTCCACATGGAGATGGATTGCATGGTTGAGTTACGACAGGAGCTACAAGTAAGTAGAAACCAAAATTCTCATTTAGAATAAGGTAGAAGTATGTTCATTCTAAGAGTGAAAAATTCTGATAATTTTTTTAGGACTGATAATTACTTCCTAAATAAAGGGATCATGGTGCTAACTTTTAGCACCTCTTGATTGGAATATGTTTCTTCAAATTTTAATCGTTTTGAAAAACGTTTAGCTGAAAGACTTTTGCTTTTCTGGAAGCGACAAGAGAGAAGTTAAAAAGAGTAGACAAAAAACCTTTTAAATCTTACGACTGACTGAGGGCGACAATTATTATACGTCTTGTGGGACAAACCATCATATGAGGGAAAAGAAAGAAAAAAAGCTTTGACACCCTCATCAAAAAATAAAAAAAAATATAAAAGAAACGAACCCTGCTGAGGTTTGCACTGGACGAAAGGATTCCCTGACATGCTGGCTGGACAAGTGCACATTGGAATATGATTGAAAACTGTACAAATGGCATTGTCACCGCAGGTTCCTCTACATGGATCTTTGCACTTGTTCCGAATGCAAGCAAGGTTTTGTGGACAGTCACTATTTAAAATGCACTCTGGTCTACAGCCAGTGTAAGGATCTCCTTGGTATTCAGGAAGACATGAACACACTCCATCACGGCAGATGGCGTTAGGTCCGCAGGGGGAGGGATCGCAAGGATCAGTGCTTTGTGGTGGTTCAGTTGCTGTAAAATAACCGAGCGTGTTAGGATGGAGGATTCATAAATAACTGGATGCATGTTTATCATGGCTTCAAACTTTAGGAGAAATCAAACGAAAATTAACTTTCAGTAATCAGATTTTATGTTTTTGATAGGCACTTCAATAATAGCCAAAATTGAATATTTTTGTTATCAATTTATGAAAATAATCAGTGAACTTCTATGACATGACATAGTGTCTCCTAACTGAGAAATTTTCTTTAGAAAAATTCTTTGATTTTTGTTTTTGTAATCTTAAGCCAGATTCTTAGGTTCAGTAAAAAATGTACGAACAGTCCTTACGTGGGGGTGGTTTTGGGTAGCAATTGGTAAATGGATCTCCTGTGTATCCTTCTGGACAAACGCACGCCGGTGTGTGATTGATCACATTACAGAGAGCACCAGATCCACAGGAACCAGGGCAAGGGTCTTTGCACTTCTCACGAATACAAGCTAGGGCGCTCTGGCATTCAGCATTTATAAGACATTCCGGTCTACAGTTAGGGGGTGTGCCAGTGTATTCAGGTCGACAAGAACAAGAAGGCGCTCCACCAATGTCACGACATTGTGAGTAAGGGCCACAAGGTGAGGGGACACATGGATTGAGTAGTATGGGATCTGCTGATGGTGGAGGGGGCGCTGTAGGGCAGATAATTGAAAAAAAGGAATCAATTGAAGGCGCCTATTAACGATGTGTTATTTATCTCAACACCTCATTAGATGAGCAGAGACGGCAAGATCTGCTACAGAGAAATTCATGAAAACTCTATAGAGAGATTAACTCTTCACTGGCATAATTCAAGTAGAAAAATTTTGAATAGTCTTAAAAGAGAATTTCCAGAATTTTCAATAAATAAAGAGAGCAAAAAAGGCTCATTCAACAGATGACTTAAATTTCTATCCATGAAGAGGAGGTAATTACGACTTCTTATGAGCAAGAAAAAATGAATCAGAAGTTGCTTTCTAAGGAGTCAATTATAAGAATTAAGGAAAAAAATAAAGAATAAGGAAATAACTAGAGAATCACTCACGAGGAATGAGGGAGCACACTGTGAACGGATCGCCAGTATACCCAGAACGACAACTGCAAATGGGACTGTGATTTATAACATGGCAAACAGCATTTTGTTCGCAAGTGCCGGGGCACGGGTCCGTGCATTTTTGATTGATGCATGCTTTGTTGTGCGGACATTCGGAACTAACGACACACTCTGGTCTGCAGCCAGGTGGACTTCCAATGTACATAGGTTTGCAAGAGCAGACAGCTTGCCCATTGATTTCACGACACACACTGTTTGGACCACATGGAGATGGGTAACACGGATCTATGGGTGCTGCCTCGACAGCTAGAAAAAACACTCTCGATTAGTCCAATCTCGTAGTATCTCATTGGGTCAAATCTATTCTTAGTCCAATGGAAATAATTACTTAAAATTGATCAAGTATAAAAGCAATGAAGGAGCTTATTCTTCTTTTTTAGTAGCAGGAAAAGATTTAAAAAATGCTCACGGAATTCTGTGAGTTTTCTCTTCCTTAGTTGCAAAACTGCATCGAAAATTTATCTCATTAAAAATCTATTTTGTGGAGATTGAAAAACTGCAAAAATGCTGAGTAAACTGGACAGAAACTTCTGAGGTATTGGTATTACGAAAACGTTTCTAAAATTACGAAGTAAACCACAGAGCAAGCTTTTTGTGAGACCAGCATAAGTGTCCAGAAAAGAACTTTAGGATCCTAACATCAGTAAATAATAGAGTGGCAGTAATGTATTACATGGAGGAGTTGTAGGAGATGGGCTACAGTATCTGAATGGATCTCCTGTATATCCAGGCCAACAGGTGCAAGATGGAATGTGATTGACGACTTGACAGTCAGCATTGGGTCCACAAGTTCCTGGACAAGGATCTTGGCATTTACTGCGAATGCAAGCTTTGTTTGGAGCGCAATCCGTGTTCAAAGTGCATTCTGGGCGACAACCTTCATACGGATTTCCGACATAATCAGCCTGACAAGTGCAAGAACCTGCGCCGTTTTGTTCTCGACATACAGCATTGACACCACATGGTGATGGGGAGCAGGGGTTTATCACCTCTTGGGGCAATGGCTCCGCTGGAAAGGCAAACACAAATCCCAATTAATATCACTTTTCTCGTGGCCTAACAGCGAAAATGATCTTTCTTTCAAAATACTTCTTCATGAAATAGGAAAAACCAAACTTACATTGTTGAATTGTGCATTGAACAAATGGGTCGCCGACGTAACCAGGGGTACAAACACACCGGGGAGTGTGACTGACTACATGACATTGAGCATTGGCACCACACAGACCTGGGCAAGGGTCTCGACATTTTTGATTGATACAAGCTTGGTGACTGGGGCATTCACTATTACTGATGCATTCAGGTCGACAGTTGGGAGGGATTCCGATGAATTCAGGCAAACAAGAACACGAAGGTGACTCCCCGTGGGGTTGACACTGCGCATTCGGACCACAAGGTGAAGGAACGCAAGGGTTTTGAGGAGCTGCTTGAACTGGAGGAAGCTCCGCTAGAAAAAGGAGAGAGAGGGTTGAAAAAAATGCAAACCACAGTGACTCAAGTTTATGTTATGAGGAGCCTGACAAATTCAGCAGAAAAAGTGTTTTGTCGATTATTTTACTGACTTTAGGGCTAAATCTTCAAGTTGAGGAGACCTAGAGACTTTTCATTCCTTGATTTTTCAAACAAAAAGCATTCTCGCATAAAAATTAAGCTCCTCTTGCATTAATTGGAGATTTTCCAGAGTTTGCATCACAAGTATTGGTTCCTAAATCTTTCCACTAATTTTTTAGCACCAAATCAAACATGGGCCAACAAATTTGAGACAAAATGATCTTTGAGCAGAAAGCTTTGAGAACTTTTGTTTAAAACCACAAGTTCTCTAATGTGTTCCTTAATAATCTTGGAGTTTTAAGGTTCAAGCTGCAATGGACTAAACCCATAAACTTCAATTTACTGCTGGAATAAATCAATTGTCCACTTACGTATGGGTAAACATCTAACGAATGGGTCTCCGGTGTATCTGGGAGGACAACTGCAGATTGGGTTGTGATTCACAATCTCACACCGCGCCCCTACACCGCAGGTGCCAGGACAAGGGTTGCGACATTTTTGGTTGTTACAAGCCTCGTTTCGGCCACAATCTGCATTGATGACGCACTCAGGACGACAAACGGGTGGACTACCGATGAAACCAGGGGCACAAGAACAAACGCCTTGATTATTTATCTCTCGACAAATACTGTGTGGTCCACAAGGATTTGGATTGCATGGCTGAGTTACAACAGGAGCTGCAATGCAACGACAGCAAATTACTTCACGGTGACCTCAAAAAACAGAGGATGTAGAGAGAAAGAGGAAGAAAATTGAATTAGCTGGAGGTTCAGATACTCCCAATTTGGTTTTATGATGATTACGAATAAGATTAAAAATGTTCAGAACACTAACCCTGCTGAAGAAGGCAAAGAACGAATGGATTTCCTGACATTCCTGCTGGACAGCTGCAAATTGGAATATGGTTGACAACGCTACAGATGGCATCCTGGCCACATGTTCCTGGACAAGGATCTTTACACTTAGTGCGAATACAAGCTTGGTTCCGAGGACACTCTGAGTTCAAAATACACTCTGGTCGACACCCAGAATACGGATCACCTTGATATTCGAGTTGACAAGAGCAGACACCATCCCTGCAGATGGCATTTGGCCCGCAAGGTGATGGATTGCAGGGATCAATATTTTGAGGTGGATCTGTGGCTGTAAAAACACCACACAATTAAAATTAATCCACTATCGAGGACCACTGAATTTAGTTCCTTGGCAATGATAGAAAAATCTGATTTCTATACATTTGACTCAAACTCATATCAATTCATTCCAGAGGAAGTTCAAATTTTCATTTAAGTCTTTAAGTGTAGATAAAAATATAGATAAAACTAAAAAAAAAGTTCTCTCAAAAAATCACAACTGCTGTTGACAGCGACTAGTATTTTAATAGGATTTATTTCTTTCTTCAATGCAAGTTCAACGTTGCAAGGGTTCGATAAATGCATATTATGATATATGGTAGATTTTATCTCGATGTGAAAGGTCAACGACTTAATTTCCAGAATTCACTCTTTTCTCCATAAAAAATCCAGGTGTCTCGAAAAGATCACGACTGCCGTAGACAGCGACTAGTATTTTGACAGGAATTTATTTCTTTCCATAATGCAAGTTCTACCTTGCAAAGGTTCGATAAATGCATAAAACGATACATTGTAGAATTTATCTCAACGCAAAAGGTTAACGATTTAATTTCCAGAATTCACTCTTTTCTTCATTAAAAAATCCAGGAGTGTTTCAAATTTCTGATATGCAAAAATCAAAAGTGGGATTGAAGTGCTTACGTGGAGGAGGTTTTGGATAACAATTGGTGAATGGGTCTCCAGTATATCCTTCCGCACAAACGCATGTGGGTATGTGGTTAATCACATTACAAAGAGCATCTGAGCCGCAAGAGCCAGGGCAAGGATCTCTGCATTTTTCTCGTATACAAGCCAAGGCACTTGGACATTCAGCATTGATGATACATTCGGGTCTACAATTAGGCGGAGTCCCAGAATAATCTGGTCGACAAGAGCATGAGGGCGCTCCACCAATATCTCGACATTCAGAGTAAGGGCCGCAAGGCGATGGAATGCATGGATTGATATAGATTGGGTCAGCTGGAGGAGGGGGTGGAGCTGAAATGAAGAGATGGAAATGAGTAAATCTGGGCCTCTTCAGAAAGGGAATAAGTTAACTGCAAACTGATTTGGAATAATTACTTCAAATCATTAGTGCTTAAATGGCACTTGCATTTGTCTATCTCATCTTGGTGAGTGCTCATGACCTCTCTGTAAATAGGAGCAGAGAACTAGGAGGTTGAGCTGTGTCAATCTTAAAAAGATTTTACAGTTAGATTCCAAATTGATTACAACTTGGCTTATAAACCAATCAGCATATTTTTTCGACGGAAAATCATGCTTGAATAAGCTTTTCCACTATGCTATGAAAATTGTGAGTTTCATGTAGAAAATATTGAGCCATAACAGAAAAATTCATCAGGCCATCTACAAACGATTAGGCTTGATACAGCCGAATTATAAAAAGAAGAAAGATAAGATATCATAGGAACGACTGCTTACGCGGAATACGAGAGCAAAAAGTGAATGGATCCCCAGTGTAGCTCGGTCGACAACTGCAAATTGGGCTGTGGTTGATCACATGACAAACAGCATTTTGACCACAAGTGTTTGTGCAAGGATCAACGCATTTTTGATTCATACACGCCTTGTCGCGAGGACATTCAGAGCTAACGACGCATTCTGGTCTGCAGCTCGGAGGACTGCCAACGTATGATGGTCTGCAAGAGCAGACAGCTTGACCATTGATTTCCCGACACTGACTGTTCGGACCACATGGAGATGGATAACAAGGATCAACTGGACTTGCCTCAATCACTTGTAAAAGAAAAGATATGACGATAAGTATTGAGCATTTCATAAAGAAATCAAACTTTAATAGCCTAATAGTTGTCTCCAAGAGATAGAAATTGAATTCTATCGAGAATATCGACGTAAGTGCAGTGAAAAAATCACTGATTTCGTTTCAATCATTGAGATGAGATAATACTGCAGGAGTATTAATTGTATAAGTTTACCTATCTTGTGTAAAAAGATTTTCAGTTTCTGTTCATTGATGAGTATCATGAGTCAAGTTTAAAAAATTGTTTCTATTTTCAAAGCCTGTTTTGGAAGATGAGACAGCTAATGGAAAGAAGTGGAAATTTGAAGGTCCAGAGATTTGCAGGAAACATCTCGATGCAATGTATTCGCAATTCCGGCCTCAAATAAGGATATAAATTTTGGTGCAAGAATCCATAATAGTTTTTATGAATATTTGCTATTTTGGGTCATTTCAAGGCCATTCAAAATGCAACTTCATTATACCTCAGTTTGTGAGAGGAATTTCTCACAAGAAGAGAATATATATTTGCTTGTTGAATGATACCGTCCTACCTAGGCGATGAGATAAAAAAGCTGAATAATTTTTACCTAAAATCTAAATACTTATTCAGAATCAGCTAAAACTTTCATTGTGAGGAAAATAAAGATGAATAACATGTTCGAATACTAGAAAAAAGTACCTACTTGTTAGGTTTAGCAGCTGAAATACCTCTACAATCTTTCCTGAATGAAAGAACTACCTTATGAAATCTGTTTTCTTAGGTGTACCTAAAACAGCTAGAAGTGCTATTTTCATGAGGGTTGAAACTTCATAAAAAAAATAATAATCTTAATTTTGATAAATTTGAAGTTTTGATGAAATATTCGGAGTTCGACGCAACCTTCTATTTGTGTGGTTCTTAAAATATAAGTTCTAATTTTAAAAGTATTCGGCTTAAAGGTAATTACATGGTAGTGTTGGTGTAGGCGAACAAAGCCTGAAAGGATCTCCAGTGTAGCCAGGTTGGCAGATGCAGTTTGGTAGATGGTTGATGACTTGACAGTGAGCATAGGGTCCACAGACACCAGGGCAGGGATCTTGACATTTGTTGAGGATGCAGGCTTTATTAGATGGGCAGTCAGAACTGCCAACACATTCTGGACGGCAGCCTTCGTAAGGGTTTCCGATATAGTCTGGCAAACATGAACAAGATCCAGCGCTATTTTGTTCCCTACAAATGGCATTAGCGCCACATGGAGATGGAGAGCATGGAGTTGGTTTTTCCTGCGGTAATGGTTCCTCTGCAAAATAATATTATTACAATGGACAAGTTCATTTGGCTGACAGTTTCTAAAAGAAACTGTGAACAAAATTTCATAAATGTACTTTTTAAAAGAGACAATACTCAGCGTACCTAAATAATTCAAAAATTAAATCGTTGTCATAACAGGTCATTTTGAAGAAAAAAAATGAAACCACTGCTTTGTACAATAAAATACAGGAAACACAATTTGTTTGGATAATCATGTACCAAGTGTTAATGATACAATATTCCCATTAAGTCTAAATGAAGTATTACTACGTTAAAGAAAAATACAATTTGAAGGCTGAAAACAGAAGATATTATTTTCATTGAAAGCAGCACTGTTGAAAAAGTATGTTGAAAATCAAACAAAATTATAATTAAACTAAAAAGTATTGGTAAGAAGGATGAACCTATCACTGGAAGTTTAACAAAAATTAAAAGCCATGTGATAAAAATCACAATTGAAATTAGTTATGAGAATAAAAATGAGTGAAATACAACAATTGGTTTAGTCGCTGAAAACAGTAGAAATCTAGTCTGGCTCCTGAATACTACGAAGAGTTTTTTTTTTTTTTTTTCAGTCTATGTCAGAACTTAAATTTCTCAATTTTTTCTGAATGCTACTGACAGTTTGATTCATCAGTAAATTAAGTTTTTCAGCTAGAAAGAATATTCATCAGGAATTTTTCTTTAAAAGTCTTATGTTGAAATGAGCTGGGGGAAAATATTGTCGCTAATTAAATTAATTCTTAAAGCATAATTTTTCATTATGCTTTTTTGCGTGTTTTTGGTCTGCAAATTCTAGAAATTAATGTAAAAATGGAAAGAACTAATGTAAGTACTTTTTTTGACGTTTCATCACATTAATTTTTTGATGATGAGATGGTTTCCAGTCTGAGTGGATACAGATTAAGATATTTCTACTATGATTCAAGCGATTCGATTTTTGGTAGGGTGAATTTAATTCATTACTAAGGTTGTACGCTTAACAAAAAAGAACAGTTATAATAACGGTGTGAATTTGAGCCATTATTTGATGAAAGAATGTATGCTTTGCAACACTTCTGGTGCAAGGGTAAAGTTTATGGTGGATGAATGAAGTGCACCCATTCACAAATTATTTTTGCAAAATATAGGGGGGAATGCAAATAATGTTTGGGAGAAAAAATTAGTGCAAAATTTCAAAACCAAGGGTCATAATCCGAATCAAATTTAAAGAATCTTGGTGAAATCTCAAAGCTTACGCCCTCCTTTGTTAGATAAAAATGGGTCATTAGCTGAGTGACAGAAACATTCAACTCACTATTGAGCAGTTTTTTCCAATAATTACTACTTCATCTAGTGAACTTCAGAATTGAATTGATAGTATGATATTATTTTTGACAAAATGTAAGATGTCGCCCATTAAAAACCAGCGTCAAATTGAGCTTTTTTTCCATGTCAACTTAAACTTTTCCATCCGACCCTTGAGAAAAACTGCATCACTCAGAACTTGGGCACCTATTCTTTTTATCATCTGATGTTCTTAGTAATGAATTAAACTAATGAAGGCTACTTATGAATGCACATCACTAGGAAAAATTTCAAATTCAATGGCAAAAAATCTTTCAGCCTTTCTGAACGAAAAAGTTTTGTTGAATTCTAAAAAATAGAGAATAAAATTAGTTGAGGGAAAAATAAGCAACACTCAGGAAATCGTATTTTTCTGTGCTTGTAAATCACTCTGTAAAATTAATGATTATGGCCGCAGGCCGACTATAATTTTTTTTCCCCCTTTTAAAGCAAAACTTTGAGTTAGCATATTAATCTTATGGAGGAAAGGATTTCAGACAATAGGCTGCTTTCACTAATGATACGCATAAAATCGACCATACATGCAGAATGCATGAGACATAGTTTGAGCGTTATGATTTTAAAACGAGAAATAGGATTCTTTATGGCCCGGACCCAAAACATAAAGTGCAAAAGGCCTGTACGAGAAAATGAAAAGCTCCAAAAAGCTAGGTTATAACTTCTGCTAAATTTTCAATTTTGACTATGTGCTATGGTCAATTTTTCTTTTTGTTTAAATGCTTAGAGAGAATAAGTAACGTTCTTGGGAGCAATTCACAAGCACAGGCACTGTAAAATGTATGGATTTCTTCAATTGATACTTGGTCGCAATTGAGGCTCAGAAAAACTATGCTGAAATAAGATACAAAAATCGTTAGAGTCAAAGAGAGAATGTCCAGCATATGAAAATAACACTGAGGACAGTCAACACTCTAATATTTCCAGCAAGCTGTAAAATAAAGGGGACTCCTTTTGTTGTGAAATTAGGAGGAATAGACTTGCATTACGACAATCATCCCTGGATAGCTATACAGGGGAAAAATAAAAAACACTCAGTGAAAAAATTGTTGAGGCAACAAATGCTTTCATCATAAATTCAAATATTGAACACCTATTGCCTAGAAAGATGCTAGATGAATGTAAAAAAAAAATGTTATTCACTGTGAGTAAATACTACTGAGAAGTAAATTACTCTGATTCCTCAATACCTGTCCTACATGCTGTAATATTATTAAATAAAAAGAAAATTAATGCGGAAGCTAAATTCTTGAAAGACACAAGCATCGTTTGAAGGTACTATTCGTTTTCGAGTTCAACAACCACACTGACTAAAACTGATAAAGGTTCAACAGAAGAAAAAACTACGCTGAAATAAGATTAAATGTTTATTTTACCTATTTAATTTTGGTTGAGGTATGATACCGTCTCTGAGTAGGAACTTTACCCAGTGTTTTATATGAATGTTCCAATTGTTTTACTTACAAGAGGTATGTCCTTCAAGAACCAAGCTTTTCGTGAAAAAAGATGTCAATGGTAAAACTACAAAACCACGTATCTCACTTTGTGACACTGTAGAATCTTGTCACATTTGACTTGCTTAAGGCAAGTAAAAAGGTGATGCATTATTTGGATGTGTGATTTTTCTTCGCACTTTCAAGAATGTTCCTTGACTATTTAATGTGATTAAACATTCTCGTAAAATATTCAAGTACAGTAAGAAATTCTGAAAAACACAATCGAGGCACATGTTTTGGAAGTTTCACCACTGACATAGTATTGCATTGACAGAGAAACAAAATATAAAATTACCCATAGTATGACAACATGAACAAAAATCACTTATGATCTAACACTGGCGGCTAGGTTGTGCTTAAATGAGTATCACCATATGAAATAATTTTAGGCGTAAAAACCCTCAATCGAAGTCACCAGTAAGCTTCCAATTTTTCGTTTTAGTGTATTCTTCGAGGGAAATACACTATTTTTGTTTTGGGGCAAAATAGCTACATATTAACATAATTAGAAGAATAAGTGCTTCAATTTTCTGATGGGCTATTATTTGCTGAGTTTTAGAGTATTGATTTCTGAAAATAGAGTTTCACCAAAACTATGTGCAAAAATAATTTTCGAACTTATATAAAGATGAAAAATTTTTAAATGCCAGATTAAAAAGCATGGCCATTAAAATTTGAAAACAATGAGTATCTAGAACTTGCAAATTTTGCATGAGCAGTTGAAAAACACACATCAAGCAAATAACTTTCAACAACTCAATGCAGTTCCCATGAGAATGATCCAATTAGGTTTGAAGCTTGTTTTATACATTTTTAGACTTGCTTACCTGCGTTTAATTTGTAAAAAAGCAAGTTTGAAATTTTTGGTGGAATAAACTTTATTTTTTTCCTGATAGTTGCCGCGAAAATGAAAAATTGGAGACTTCACTGAATTAGCCTGCTTTATAAGTTTAAGTAAAAAAAAAATTTTAAATCAATTACTTCAGGATCAAGGTTGACAAGTTACGCTCTTGAAGAGCTGAAAACACAACCTTTCTCAAAGTATAATGATATGACTTTTTAAATTAGCAACTTTTGGGACTATTGGTTTTCTTTTAAATAGGAGCTGTAGAAAACTGATGAAGTTGACCACAGTGTAGAGCAATGCATCAGCAACTAGTTGCACTCCATATTCAAAGACCATCAAGGGTTTACAGAAACTCAGCTCTGCTGGTAAACTTATTTTCAATTTTTTTTTCTTTTTTAATACTTTCTGAGAAAAAAATTGCAGAGCCTTCATTTTGAGACAAATGTGATGCATACACGTATAGTGCCGCAATTTGGGTGACAGTAAATTTATTTTACGTTGTGAATGAAAATCAGTAGGGAAGGACATACCTAATTTTACAATGAAATCTAAAACCTTTATTGCTCAATCAAAGATTCAATAAACTTACTTTGTACGTTTGCTACGGTGAGTTTTAAAATTGACTACTTTTCTCAAAATAATCTTTAACCTTGCATACGGTATTGATGCATAAATGAAGCTTAAATGAGGAACTTGAAGACAAAGCTTCCACTAATTCTTAATGAATTGCAGTAAAATATAAATGACGAAACAATGTTTTAAACATGCTTTATGGACTTATTTGTAGGATATAATTTTTCGATAATGTACTATCTAATTACACAATGCAGTTTGTATCAATGCAGTGTACATTTATGGAATTTTAAAAGACAAGTCTCTGATTTGGCAATCAGTTTTTAAGATGCTAATTTTACTTAAATGAGTACGACCTGTCTTTGGGTTTTAACAAACAAAATGAAGGTATTGTCAAATTTTAAAATAATTCTTTAAAAAAGGTAGAAAATTTACTTTATCTTAGAATAATCCTGAAATGGGATACGACTGCAATTTTTTAGGTTGAAGACTACATAGCGAGTAATGCTCGGAAATGACGAATGGAGTAGAAATTATAAAAAAATCCTTACATATATATAACACGATTATTTAATAATAATTAATTAATATTCTCTCTCAAAAAGTATTCTCCTAATTTTTTTTGTACATTTAAGTCTCACTTTTTGATTACTGAAAGTATGTAGGTATGGTGATATTTACGGTAAATCCTAAACACTGGAAAAAGCTCCCAATAGGGGGCTTTCAATA